TCATGACCGAGAACTCTGACCCCATGCTTGTGAATCGCAGATCCTTCCATCTGGCCGACGGGTGGAGACCCAGTCTTCGCGAATACCCTCCTGTTGGAGAGGCTGGCTTCACGCACAGCACTTTCCATACGATGCCAAAGATGGGGTACCGCTCCACCTACTTCCGCCACTTCAGGAGCATCGTCGAGAGCGGTATCATCCCAGGAGGAATGTCGCGAGACGGGAGTCGTCGCAGATTTTACGCCATGATGTCACCGAAGCCAGCATGGGAACGTGACTGCATGGAGGGCGTGAGGCCTGATGCCGAGATCGAGTTCGTGATCGACCTCCAAATGGCTGCGTTGGACGGGGTTCGGATCTTTGAGACAGCTGCTGGCGCGGTGCAAACCCCAGACTGGCTGTCCAACCGCTACCTTGTCTACGCCTATCGGAGATCCTCGAATGAGCCGATCTGGATCAACAGGGCGTACGAGCATGCTCGTCTTCGCATCGACAAGGCTGTGAAGGAGTTCACCGCACACAGGAATGTGTTGCCCGTCTTTGACAATGATCCCTATCGTTGCCTTACCGACGGCGCGGCCACTTGCTTCCTGGACTACCTGAAGATTCCCCCAGAGGAAAACTTCACCGAGTGGGCCCCTCTCGCAGCCGATGCCTACACCCCGTTCCAGCTCCACTACGAACCACAGTGGGATTATGGTGGTCAGCCGGTTCGGATCCCGGAAGGGCATCCTCTTCACCCTGCGCTTCACAACGCCTGTTGGGGCATGCGGGCACTTGTGCTGCCCACGCAGACTGCACTTACGGTGGATCGAAAGCTTCGAGGAGACCCAAGGTTCTTCAGGCACCAACAGTGCGTTGCGTTCCCCAACTTCAACTGTCCCTTCTGCGATTGCAACGACTTGATCGACGGGCTCACAAAGTGTCTCAAATGTGAAGAGCGGTTGACCTTGCCCACGGACCTGGCGAAAATGGCGCAGCCCTTTGAGGCCCGCGATGACGCCACCCGGAGGGGTAGGCCGATGAACATCTTTGAGATTCAGCCTTCCATTGGCCTGAACTCCAACCGAGATCATCGGAATCCTCGCCGCGTCGATGACACGACAGTGGACCGTCGCAAGTCCAGCTCAGGAGCGACCTTAAAGGCGAAGATCAACAAGTCGCTCAGCCGTGCCAAGGAGCGCACAGGAGGTGATATCACCCTCGGCGCGATCCTGGCGGAGTCGCCCATGGATGCCTTCAACGAGCCTCAACCAGATCACGAGGTTCGCCGACATTCGGCTCCCGAACCCTGGGATGGCAGGAGGCAAGTTTGCCGAAGGCACCGACGCCTACCACAACGTCGACGGGCGGCTCGCCTACATTTGGTGCAGCGACGACGATTACGTCAACATCCTGACGGATTGTTTCATCTCTTTCCAGGACCGGTTTTACACCGTGCTCGAGATGGCCGTCATCATGTTTGCCGTGCACAGGACGACAACCGACCGTTTCTACCTGATGACCAACACCCCAGGTGAACGTTGGTATCCAAACGGAAGAACTATGGCCGGAATTCTCGGAGAGCTCATCAACCTCATCCGACGTGACCTTCCTCACTCAGCCAAGAGGGGCGAAGTGGCCCCACCGCTGCAGATGACGCAGGATATCCACGTCCCGGAAGGGTTCAGTTCTCTGGGAGATCGTCAGTTGGCACAGCTCCTCCAATTCACCCGTTTCAGGACGCGCAACATCAGGTCCACGATCCGGGTTGATCGACTGAGGAGGGACAGAGCATCGTCGGCGCCCAGTGATCGCGCACCACCATGGGTGCAACAGCCGCAATCCTCCAGAGGAAGGTCCAACACTCCCGGCACCCGGGAGGGTCGCCCAGCAGAGAGCAGGTCGAGGGACAGGCAGTCACCGTGGAAGTCACCCCCGGCTGACGCAACGCCTCCTCCTCCGAAGGCACCACTGCAGGTCAAGGCGCCCCCCGTGATGCAGTTGACATCGAAGAGGCCACCTCCGCCGGCACCATTGACAAGGTCATCGTCACCTGCTGCCAGACCGCAAAGCACTGCTGTCAAGTCCAAGCCGCGACCTCCTCAGCTCCCGAGTTCCTACATCTCGGACGCGGACTGGGACGCGATGGCAAACAACCGGCCATTCGCCGAGGAACGCCCTGCCGCAAGGCAAAGGGTCGTGTCCCCTGGACAGTCTCGCCACGCGGAAGCGGCGGCCCCACCGGGCTTGTCCCGCCCCGCGGAAGCGGCGGCCCCTGCGCCGATCGACACTGAGGCAGCTCCACGACCGATGGTGGTCGAACCTGCCACTCCTCCGTCGAGAGAGCGGATCGCCATGAATCGTGGCATACGAGACTCTTGGCCGAGTCGTCTCGTGGGGCCAAGTGATCGGTGGAACCGACATTGATCACGCCCGAGACCGGGACGTCAATTGGCCCACGTGGGTCGGATATATGTGGGCGGTCATGAGAGCCCTGGACATCCCGGGCATGTCGGTGGATAATGCTCTCTACGCGATCCCCGTTCATGGCATTCCAGATCATGGGCCCCGACCACGTGAAGTCCTACCTTCGTGGCTGGCACAACTGGCGATGGGACTATGCCACCGATGCTTGGAAGCGCGATTACTAGTTTCCTTCCTTTTGCATCGCACCGGCCTGACGGCTTGGTTTTCGCCGCTCTGACGGGCTGGCTACCTTTTCCACTTTAGTCAGCATTTCATTCAGGGCCGCGGAGCTAAGCTCTGTGGGGCAAGCACCAACACCCTGCCGGGTCGTTTGGCAGCGAGTTGTTGGTCAAGGGTGCCAAGATCATTTGTTTGAATCAAAGTAGCGTCGCAAACAGCTGATGTGTCGCCTCTCCGTTGCTCTAAGATGCGCGGGGGGTGTCGATACTTCAAGATATCAGCTGTATCATCATACTTACGCTACTTTCATTGGCTCAAGACAAAAAGTGCGTTGCACTGTACTTGTTGAGTTTAGGGCTTTCCGCTGGTAACAATACCTAAACCCTAAACCCTAAACCTAAACCCTAAACCCTAAACCCGAAACCCTAAACCCTAAACCCCAACATTCCCGGCCAGGTGAGCCTCAATTGCATTGCCGCCGGCTTACTGTGGGGGAGGGGGGGGCACGGGCAGGGCCTGGTAGGGCTGCTGCGTCCAAATCTGCAAAAGCCTTCCTGAAACTACTACACTAGACCTTCATCTCACAGTTATCCTAGTGGTTATGATCACCATCATTAGAACGATCATCTTTGCATCCAAGTTCTAGTATAGGAATACGATGTCCTATACTCCCAGAATCCGTGTGGCATGCCTGCCGTAGTCCCAGCACTCTACAACGGATCTTTGACAAGACAGCACCCCAAGCCCTCGAAGCCCACCCTGAACCACCCACACGAAATCCTACAAACCCTACATCCTTGAACCCTGACCTCTGAACCGCCCCGAAAAGACCCAACCCCAAGCCCCAAACCCCAAACCCTAAACTCGAAACCCCACACCCTAAACTCGAAACCCCACACCCTAAACCCTAAACCCTAAACCCTAAACCCTAAACCCTAAACCCTAAACCCTAAACCCTAAACCCGAAACCCGAAACCCTAAACCCTAAACCCTAATCAGACACACCAACTCAGTTGAGCAGCCGGTCTTTTGGTCTCTTCGTGGCTTCGATGTGCCCGGGCCGTGCTTCTTTTCCTCCTTGTCCATTTTTCAAAGGGGCTTAGGGTTTAGGGTTTAGGGTTTAGGGTTTAGGGTTTTAAAGGGGCTAAGGGTTAGGGTTTAGGATCTAGGGTTGGTGGGGTCACTCCATTTTTTTTTTTTTTGGGGGGGGGGGGGGGGGTTCCCACATGAGTAGGCAAAATCGTATTTGGAGATAGATTTGCCCTGGGTTTCGGCAAGTACTCAGTGTAGATTCTCGCTTCTTTGTGTCGAGGACCTGACCTGAGACCTCTTTCTAAATCAAAGCTCCCCTTCCTTAGCCGGTGCTGAATAAAGCTGCCGGTCTTTCCTGACCAGCGAACTTGTTCCCGAACAAGCGTCCCTCCTTTCAACCTTGTTGCTAATGTTGAACATCCCTGTGTTCTTCACAAGGGACCCTACTCACTTTCTCCGGCGCTGGTTTGCAGCACAAAACCCTAAACCCGACACCCTACACCCTAAACAGCCCGAAGCCCTAAACCCTACACCCTAAATATCCCTAAACCCTACATATCCTTAAGCCCAAGACCCTTCACCCTACACCCTAAATATCCCTAAACCCTACATATCCTTAAGCCCAAGACCCTTCACCCTACACCCTAAATATCCCTAAACCCTAAACCCTAAACCCTAAACCCTTCAAACCCTACAAACCCTAAGTAACCCTAACCTCAGGATCGTGTTCAACTCGATCCTCCTGGGCCTCGACGTGAAGCGCCACAAAACGGAGATCGAAGCGGCTGTCCGCCGGGCAGCAAGTTCTAGGTTTAGGGGTTTAGGGTTTAGTGTTTCAGGTTGTTTAGGGGTTTAGGGGTTTAGGGGTTTCAGGTTGTTTAAGGGTTTAGGGGTTTAGGGGTTTTGGGGTTTAGGGTTTAGGGTTTTGGATGCTTTTTGGGGTTTGGAGTCAAAGTGTTAGAGGGGGGGGGGGGGTGGTGGGGGTGCTCTAAATTCGGTTGTTCGTAGTAGTTATACATACGTATGAATATATATATATATGTGCGTGTACTGTTTCTTTTTCTTTTATTTTTGGTGGGGGTGAGGGTCTTTGATGAGATGGGATCTTGCTACAGTATAGGGAGCCCAGTGTAGAACAACTTTCATGGAAGGAGAACTCTTAGGGGTCAGGAAATTATGATGTGTCTTCTCTGTCGAAGTGGGGGCAGAGACCTGACAGCAAAAGTGCATGAGCTGTTGCCAGATGTCGTATGAACCCTTTTCTTGCTCGCCTTGTTGCCAGCAGCCGCGACCCGAAACTACCCTCCCCCTCCAGCTGCTCCCCTTTGTCGCGCCGACAGGTCTTGACAGTCATGGGCGAGTTCTGCAACGCTTTCTTCTTCGTTGAGCTTTGCCTCCGCCTTTGGTGTGGCTTGGATGCTAAACCCTTCGAATCGAAGTGTAGGTTACCCCAACATCTTATACAGGTTCTGTCAGCCATAGCCCTATGGATCCGTAAGGCAAAGGAGAATCATGAAATCACCTCCGAGAAGCCTACCCTCAAAAGCCCAAACCCTGAGCCCTATTCCCTGAACCTCAAGCTCTATGCCCCAAAGCCGACACCCTGACCTCCATCCTAAGAGCTAGTAAAGAAGGGAACTAGTAAAGAAGGGCTTCCAATCTAAGACAACCCTAAAACCCTAAACCTAAATCCCTAACCCTCAAGAAGGTTACCGGAGCCATTTCTTCTATGGCGAGGATTACGGTGCCAGCCTTGGACCACGTCTGGGGAGTGGTGTCGCGTTGCCTGTTCGGGTTGGCTCCTGGGGGGTTTGCAGGGTCTGTAGGTTTTTGTTTGTTCGGGGCGTCTTTGTTTCATGGGGTGTCATGCGGCTAACCCTAAACCCTAAACGCTGAACCTTAATACGGATGTAGACATGGCTAACCCTAAACCCTAAACCCTAAACCCGAAACCCTAAACCCCAATAAGGATTTGCATGGCTTAGTCTCCAGGCTGGAACTTGTTCGACTCCTTCCTGGTGGTCTCCTCCGTCCTGGACGCCAGGGCCTTAGCCTGTGATGAGGGCAATTAGGGTTTAGGGTTCAGGGTTTAAAAGGGTTTAGGGTTTAGGGTTTAGGGCTAGGCTTCAGTGAGTCTTAAGGAGGTTGATCTGCTTGAGGGGTCTCTGAAGCTTCGTGCCCTAAACTCTGAGCCCGGGTTTCGAGCATCTTAAGCCCGACCCTAAGAGCCCCAAAGCCTACCTTTGTTTGTAGGTTCCCTTTCAACGGAATCTCAGGTTTTTGGGTTTGGATGTTCCCTTATACTAGCAGTCGTTCACAGGGATTATAATAGGCGGTACTATAATCAACTATAATCCCTTAAAAGGACTGTAGTGCAAGGGGGAACATCCCAACGTTTAGGGCAGGGTTTAGGGTTTAGGGTTTAGGGTTTAGGGTTTAGGGTTTAGGGTTTAGGGTTTAGGGTTTAGGGTTTAGGGTTTAGGGGTTGAAGCCGGCAGGTCATCTTGACCTACACGGCGGCGGACATCTCCCCAGCCCTCGCCGCAAGCATGAAGATGTTGAAGCTCTTCAGGACCCCCTTAAGAGGTTCAGGGTTTAGGGTTTTAGTGTTTGATAAAACATGAAGATGCTGAAGCTCTTCAGGACCCCCTTAAAAGGTTCAGGGTTTAGGGTTTTGAGGCTTAAGGTTTAGGGTTTAGGGTTTTAAGTTGGGGTTTTGAGGCTTAAGGTTTAGGGCTTAGGGTTTTAAGGCTTAAGGTTTGGGGCTTAGGGTTCTTTTGGTTGTGGGCGTTGTGCTCTAGGGTTGTTGGGGCTTGGACCTCCTCGAAGGGCGCAAGAGTCCAACTTCTCCCCCCACCCCCCAAACCCCAAACCCTAAACCCCAAACCCCAAACCCTAAACACCAAACCCTAATCTCCAAACCCCAAACCCAAACCCTCAACCCTAGACCATACAGGATCATGCGTGTCTTCCGAGTCTTTCGCTTCTTCAGAGAGCTCGGGAACTGGGCGATGATGATCCTGGGCCCACTGCAGTTTAGGGGGAGTTTGGGGGTTTCGAGGCCTTCGTCAGGTCTTGGAGGCGTTTGCGTGTCTACTTGTGTGGGGGGTCTAGGGTTGCGGGTTTCGGGTTTAGGGTTTCTGGTTTAGGGTTTAGGGTTTAGGGTTCGAATGTTTGGCAAGTCTAAGGTTCAGGAGGCTTTTAGGTTGGCGGACAGCCGGTCAATTCATGTTTTCGGTGGTGAGATTGGCGTCGAAGCATGCCCCAGCACCCGGAACGACCCTGCAGGGTTTAGGGTTTAGGGGTTAGGGCTTAGGGTTTACAGTTTAGGGTATCCAACTGCAAAGGTCGGTTTCAATGTTAACTCAACTTGCAAGAGCCTTATTCAAAGAAGGCCCTTTCCTGAACCAAACCCTAAACCCGACACCCCAAACCTTGAAGCCTACAACCCGAAACCCGAGCCCCAAACCCCAAACCCCAAACCCCAAACCCCAAACCCCAAACCCCAAACCCCAAGCCCTAAGCCCTAAGCCCTAAACCGAGGATCATCGACTCCCTGAAGTCGCTTTTCGGAGCGCTGATCCTTCTCGGTGACCGGGTGCACAGGAGAGTCGGGGGTTTAGGGGGTTGGGTTTAAGGTGTGTAATAGGGTGTGTAGGGTTTCGGGTGATGGGTGCTTCCTAGGGACGAACAACTTCCCCATGAGATGTAGCCATAATAAACGCATCCTTGCCTACTTCCCTACTGGGAAGTAGCACGGAGAGTCGGCGGATCTAAACAGTCCAGGGCGCAAAACTTTAGAGTTTTAAAGTTTAGGGTCTGAGGTTTGGTGGGGTTTAGAGGTTTGGGATGTTGTTTGTAATGGTTAGTTCTAACGACGGCTCCAACTGGAATGACGAGCTGCTAAACCCTCGACATCCCGATGAAAACGCTGCACTGGTTGAGGGCTTCAGAGTTGTAGGTTTGAAGCCAGATTCCTTCGGCCAAGCAAGCAAAGACGAAGCACTTTACGCGGCGTCAATCCTTGCGCGCCTGTTCATCGTCCACAGATCGCCCCAAGCCAAGCGTTCTGCCGTGCGGAGCATCTTGCTCATGGAGCCACTTACCATTTCTCAGGGTCGCTCCTTCATGATGTTGTTCCTGACCACCCTGGAATCGTGAGTCCGAGGCCCCTTAGACTCGCGTGCTCGGCTCGGGTGTAGAACTTTTTGAGTAAATGGGCTCTGGGTGGTGGATTCGTTGCCACCCACTTACGCTCTATTCTTGCCCCCCCTGTCCCGGCATGCTTGTTGAAGACAGCAAACCCTGAGAGCTCAGGTATCATCGTTTACGTGTTTGCAGTGAGCCTGTCAATGAACACGGCGGACTGGCTCATCCAACAGGACTGCACGTGGGATGTAGTTTTGCGATTTGTGGGATTGCCTCTAGAACCCTACACCCTAAAGCCTGTGGGATTGTCCCTAAAGCCCGAAACCCTAAAACCTAGACCTAAACCATAGTCTGACATGACGTTTCTGAGGGTCTCTTCGGCACCGTCCACAATCGTTCGCTCTCAAAAAGCACTGCCAGGACTCAGCAGGCCCTATGGACCGTGGGCTCTATGAGGAGGTGGATAACTGGTTCGGCTCGCTCGGCTCCACCGTGCCTCGCCCCCGAATGGCTTTTTGAGGCATGAAGTTGGTCTGGGGTAGGATGCCGAGCGCCACCTCAGACCTCGGTTCCCAGCATGTAGGTCTTCCTTTTTTGTCCTTGGCATACCGGCTGGTAACCCCTACCATCCCTCAATCCATCCTAAACCCTCAACCCTCAACCCTCAACCCTCAACCCTCAACCCTCAACCCTCAACCCTCAACCCTCAACCCTCAACCCTCAACCCTCAACCCTCAACCCTCAACCCCAAACCCTATAGCCTATAGCCCACAAGAACCTCTCCACAGCTCCCCAGGTGTACACCTTGATGCTGTCGATCCTTGGGGGCGTGAGCTGGCACATTGTCTGCCTGGGGCCCAGGGGATTTCTAGGCACATGAAGCCCAGAGATGAGCTTGCCTGGGGCGACCCTGGCTACAGAACCCCCATATGAGCACCCCACTCTCCCTCTTCCTCCCTCCCACACTGTCCCAAGCATCCAAGAGAGAACCAGGCGACGTCCTCTTCAAGATCGACATACTCTCAGCGTGCCTTCTGCTCTTTTACATCATGTTTACCATCTTCTCGGTGCTGAACGTGATCACAGGACGGGGGGACCTGGAATCAGGATTAGCAGGATTTTGAGTTCAGCGGCCCCGCGGGTCATGAAACCGTTATAAATCCATAACGGAATGACTTATACCTTGGGGACTGCTTGGACCTTAAAGCCTTAAAGGTGTTTGTGGTTTCAAATATCCTAATGGGTTTGTCGTCACTTTGGCTGTATGATCCCAATGACAGTTCGTTTAGTGTGAAGCGGTGGGAAGCGCCTGGGAAGCAGCTCTGTTGGCCTCTGTTCGTGTGCCCATTTCGGGGTGAACAACTCTGATAGATGTTGGATGTATATGAAACCCTAAACCCTAATTCAACCCTAAACCCAAAGCCAAAGCCCTGAACTCCACAGCCTTCAGCGCAAGCCCCGCAACCCAACGCCCTAGCCAAAGCCGTACCCTTCGACCGAGCCAACCTTATAAAGAACCTGTAAATGAGCATGCCTTATAGGGTGAAAGAACATGCCTTAGACAAAGAAAGAAAAGAGGTTTTTTGAACAAGCTATCTTCCTTAGCTACGGTATGCTGGGCTCTCTGGAAAAGATTGGCCCGAATCCCTCGACCGCGGCAAGCCTACAGCCGGTCAAAAGTTCAGGGTGTTTCTCCAATATTCAACTCTATAGGGCTTAAAACTCCTAGATCAACCTCCGAACACCTAAACTAAACCCTAAACCGGAAGCCCGAAACCCCAAACCTGAGCCCCTAAACCTGCCAGGAGTCTTCGTGGACTCAGCCATCCAGACCACCAACTCGCAGCGAGACATCCAGATCGAGCGCGAGCTCGAGCTCAAGGACACACCCCAGGTTCAAAAACCGGCTTAGAGGGTTCAGAGGGTTCAGGGCTTAGGGCTTATAGGGTCTAGGGCTGGCAGCCAATACCGCATACGTCTCATCATAACAAGAAATGCTCATCATGATACAGCTACTTGTAGAGGCGGCCGAATTTCAAAGAGTTTCCACGTTCTAGGGCTTGGGGCTTGGGCTAGGCAACGCAGGAGGGCGGTTCAGGGGTTAAGTCTGTGTCTGAATCCTGTGGAGGACTCCTTCCTCAAGTCCCTGAAGGACTTCTTTGAGGCCTTAGACACGGATGGCAACGGCGCGATCCATTTGGATGAGATCAAGATCATGCTGCAGGAAGCCCGGCGCACCAAACCCTAAGCCCTAGAATGGAAACTCTATCCTATACCCCTATAAACCCTGAACCCCATAGACTCTAAAGCCCGATAAACTTCATAAGCCCTAGACCCTAAGCTTCTCCCGCCCTTGATGTTGGGCTTGGCTTCGCGCGCTCCACTTTCCACAGAGGTGCACCACTTAGACTTACAAAAATCCCGAAGCCTTAAACACCCTGGAGCCTGTAAACCCTAAACCCCGTAAACCCTAAACCCATAAACCCCAGAAGTATACATCCCAAACACCGCCCTATACTTCTCGAAATCCTTCCTGCCGTCGAAAAGCGTTGTCTCACCATCAGCTAAGTGCGAGGCACCCCTTGGTTTCACCGGCCCCAATTGCCCCAATTGCCGCAAGCTGAGGGTCGCAGAAGAACTAGGTAGGGCCTTTGGAGATTTCAGATGTTCCCTTACTGGATAGTTCATATGTTCCCTTATTGGCCTTGTTGGCTTCAAATCCCTCAGAGCCCTCCACCCGAAACTCCCTTGAACTGTGGGTAGTTTCATGGGGCCTTAACATGGTCCCTTACCTCCGTTAAACGGTGCCGATGTATGGGCCCTTAATTTGTATAGGGTAGATAAGGGGTTTTTAAGGGGTCCCCTTTTAAGGGCCCATATTCAGGGACCACGAAGCTACCCTAAGACTCGAACTGCGGCTTCTCAAGCTGCGCATCCCGGCAGGACCCGACCCTCGCCGCATACTTTGCCGCCACTCGGGCGGAGAAGGGTTCATGGGTTAGGGTTCCCTAAACCCTAAACCCTAAACCCTAAACCCTAAACCCCAAACCCTAAACCCTAAACCCTAACCCTAAACCCTAAACCTTGCCTTTCCCTAGTTTCAGGGCTTTAGGGATGTTTGGGGATGCGCAAGAGGCCAGAGCTTATGAGATCAGCAGGATTTGACCCCCAGGGGCTTACAGGGCTCAGGGATGAAGGCCCTTCTGACCCTGAATCCCAAACTTCCCCCCCCCCACTCCTCACTACAAAATATGAAGACACTAGGGAAGATTGTGGCCGGAATGTTGGGCTGCTGCTGGCAGTGCCGGCTGAATCCAGAAGCCCTAAATAATGTACTGGTATAAAAGTGATCGGCGAGGTACTCGGCTTCGACGAAGTGAACGCGCACCAGATCTTCCACCTGCTCGATGACGACGAGTCTGGCGAGGCAGCAAGGGGGACCCGGATCTTGACGACCTTCATCGTTTTATGCTGGGCCTTCTGCGTTTTTGGGGCTTTAGGGCTTCAAGGGCCGTTGGGTTTTGGGGTCTCAGCGTTCGTTTTTCATAGGGCGCCTGCACTTCCTGGATGTCGGGTACTACCTTCTTCCAACTCCCTTTCAGTTTCATTTGGAGCGGACCCCCCAAGCCTGATGTCCTGAACCCCTGAACGACCTCAGACCCTGCTGTAAGAATTGCAGGCGATTTCTGGCCCTAAACCTTAAACCCCTAAACCCCTAAACCCCTAAACCCCTAAACCATAAACCCTAAACCCTAAACCCCAAACCCCTAAACCCCTAAACCCCTAACCACTAAACCCTAAACCCCAAACTTCCTAAGCGCCCTCGAGCCCAGTGTTGCCCTAAGCTGCCCGAAGCTTCCTTACATCGCCCTTGGGGGCTTCCTTCCCTGAATCCCTCACTGTTCTTCCGTGGGCCGGTGGGGCCCCCTAAAACCCTAAAACCCTAAAACCCTAAAACCCTAAAACCCTAAAACCCTAAAACCCTAAAACCCTAAAACCCTAAAACCCTAAAACCCTAAAACCCTAAAACCCTAAAACCCTAAAACCCTAAACCCTAAACCCTAAACCCTAAACCACCCGAAACCCGAAACCCTAAACCCGAAACCGCACCCCCTTCTCGCAGCGAGGAGGGTTTGTGGGGTAAGAGTCTTGCATTCAAGGCCCCGGAAGTGCCCTGAACCGGAAGTCGCGCGAAGTCTTCCTAAACCCTAAACCCGAAACCCGAAACCCTAAGCCCTAAACCCTAAACCCATGGAGCAGGTGAGCATACAGGAGTTCCTGGACGGCTGCGCGAAGCTGAAGGGCCAAGCCCGCAGCATTGACGTTCACGCGATCATGCACCAGTGCAGGCGGGCTCTGGGTCTTGCTTCCTAAACCCTAAACCCTAAACCCTAAAACCCGAAGACCCTAAAACCCCTAAACTCCAAACCCCAAACCCTTTCCTTTGTGGTCGGCTTCCGAGGGGGGGTGCTCTCTCCGGGGTTGACGTGTCGGGGAGTTGCGCACCTCAACTCTGGGCGTGGCTTCACTCGAATCATGGACCCACTCTACCCCATCATCCCGTGCAGTCCATGGGCCCACTGTTCCTATGGCTCTTTTTCCTACGCGAGGCTCTTTCAGGATCGAATCTATACACTGGAGCCTTCAGCTTCTTTCGTCCCATGCGACGGTTGGCTGGGTCGGGCTCAAAGAAGCCAGGGCTTCAGGGTCCTCAGCCCCCCAAAGGAAGCCCTAAACCCTGGACCTTCAACCCATAGAACCCATAGAACCCATAAGAACCCATAAGAACCCATAAGCACCCACAAGCACCCATAAGAACCCCTAAGAACCCCACAAGAACCCCTAAGAACCCCCTCAGAACCATAGAGCCCTCCACCTCCCCCGTTCAGGGCGCTCCACCGGGACATCAGCTTCGTTGGCTCCCAGCTGGGGGTGGACCTGCACCAGGCGGCGCACGCGAGCCGGCATCGCCGGCGGCACCCATGGGTTGAGACCCTCCTGAACACCCAAGCCATCAACCCTAAACCCAGTCAATATAGGGGTCGGAGTCGGAATCATTTCTAATCAATAATATTCCCTTCTGGTCCCTCTAGAATAACCTCCCGAAACCCTATTCTAATTCAGGCTCCTACATTATGCGTTGAGGGACCTGGAATTGATAGAGAAAAGGAATCCGAATCCCTTTGGCTTTGAACTTGGGTTCGGTGCAGCCACCAGGTTCAGAGTGATTTTGAGAGTTTTTTGCGGGGTAGAGGGCCCCAAGCCCTTAATCGGCACTTCTTTGTATCTTGTAGGTCAGTGTTCCAGCCTTCCATGTCGTGGTCAACTTTCACCGGTACCTGTGTTGAATACCTTAGCAACCTGGGATACTTTCATGATTCACATACAGATATATACACCATATATATATATATAGATGTGTATACATACATACATACATACATACATACATACATACATACATACATACATACATACATACATACATACATACATACATACATACATACATACATGTATGTATGTATGTATGTATGTATGTATGTATGTATGTATGTATGTATGTATGTATGTATGTATGTATGTATGTATGTATGTATGTATGTATGTATGTATGTATGTATGTATGTATGAATTGTTTCTTCAAGGCGCCTTGCAATACGCGACTCTGCCGCTGCAGTGTGACGAGCCAAGGCAATCGCATTGGTTTGGTCGCAACACACAGCTCCTCGGCTTAGTCATCAAGGCGCAGTCATATGTCCCGTCTCTATTCGGGTTGTGACTCGTGATTGCGAAGTTCAAGATGCGGACCAATCTGTCTGTGCGTGTGTGGCGTTGAATGTTAGATGAAGCACTTCGCGGGTGTGTCTTTGTTTACCTGCAGCACGGGAGTTGTAGCTAATCGGCTCCCCCTGGCTTGCCCTGTGGACTCTCTAAGTTGCTGCGCCAGCATATGTGGGGCGTCGCCTTCCCAAAGCAACGTCCGCATTCTCTTTTTGCATGAGATGGATGCTGCTGAGTTCAGGACTTCCGTCCTGACGGCCGCAGCCGTCAAGCGCCTGACCAGCTCAGGCGCACACGTTGAATAGAACCCTACTTCTGTGTCAGGCCTGAGTAGGTCTCACACGAGGGGGTGTCAGTTTGTTACTGTACCCGGGGCCCGGCGCCTGGAACCCGGAGCCAAGTGATCTTCACACCCAAATGAGCGGCTGTTTGGCCAGGTCTGACAGTTCCAGGGCCGCCGGGCCCCCCTCTTGCACTCTGCTTGGCTTGTACCCTGAACCCTGACTCCTGACTCCTGGGCCCTCACTGAACCATGAAGAAGCCCAAAGCGTCGGCGCTCTGAGACGGCGGCCGGGAGTTTCGAAATGAACGTTGTGGTGTGTTGTCCTCATCCCTAAACCCTCAACCCCTTCAACCCCAAACCCTTTCAACCGAAACCCTTTCAACCCCAAAGCCCGATCAACCCTAAACCCTTTCAACCCTAAACCCTATGCCTATGAAACCCTGCACCCGAAAAATTCTTGACCTTATCACCATGTCACACCCTAACTTAGGCCAAGTCAGCAGACTGCGAAGTGCAGCCACCAAGATTCGCCTCGGCCCGAAGGGCCCTGAGCCCCATCTGGTGGTCACAGTTTCAGGCAGCGAAGCTGCCCGCTTGAGCCGCCTTGGCCGAGAGTTTAGGGTTTAAGGTTGAGGGTTTCGGGTTTAGTGGCTCAGGTTCAGGCAGTTTCGGTGTTTTTTTTGGAGGGTGTTCGGTTGGGGTTTGTAGAGTTGCGCGGGCCTAGCTGGGCAAAGAAGCAGAGACGTTCGAGTTGCTCCTCTTGTTCTCTCTTGGCGGGTGTCCCTTTGGAGCTGCATGGTGCCTTCGCCTCATTTGCCGCTGCACCTAGGCTCAAGTACTGGTTTCATTGGGCGGCCTTAGTGGGGGGGGGGGGGGGGGATGTAGCACTTGCCCGAGTTCTCTGGCTTCTAAGCACCATGCAGCTCCAGGCAAGGTCTCATAGCTACCCTGCCCCAGGATCCGGAGAATTGCCCCTGGGAGAACGCGACGAACCCTGGACAAAAAGAAGAAGCGCTCTTGCTGGGTTTAAGAATGCTTGAAGGCTAAAGCCTGCTTGGGATGCTGCGTCAGGATCTACTATTAGCTTAAGAACCCCAAAGGAATAACATTAATAGTCCCTTCATTACCCTCAAGAAGGAAGAATACTTTTTTTCGGGGTTCTTAAGCAATTAGTAGGGATGGTTGAATTGAAGGGGAGGGTGGCCTGAAAGCTGTGTTAGGGCGTTCTGGGCTTCGGGTTTGCTGTTCTGTGACAGGGCTTGCCGGACGTTTTGCCGGGCTTTGCTGCTTCTCGGCTCTTACGCGCAACATGGCCCCAGCAAAGAGAGCAAAGAATAGAGAACCCCCTGAGCCCTGCAAACCCTGTAACACCCTACACCCCCTAAACCCTACAGGCATCTACAAAACCTGCAAACCAAGAAATTCAGAGCACTGGCTCCAGACTTGGACTCCATTCACACCCTTGACCGACCAGCTTGGGTTAAAAATGCTGGCCGCCATGCAGGGGTTCAGGGTATGTATATATATATATATATATATATATATAGACATCAGAGTCTAGAACATCCCACCACATGGGTTTTCCTCCAAGCCGGACCCGAAACCGAAAGCCCCCTAATCACGAGAGACTCCACGCGCAGCGCAGTCGCAGAGAGCGCCTCGCCAACCCTCGGGCTGATGGCCGAGGCGAGGTCGGGCGCCTAAATCCTGTAGCCTCTACTAGCCTTACATCTCGTAAACCTGCCCACCAAGCCCACAAAGCCCTATGTACACCACATATGCCCAATGCCCCATGAGCCCCGATACACCCCAAGGAAGCCTAAGCTACCCAACGCACCAAAAAACCAACGAAACCCTCAAACCGCAAACCGCCCTCAAGGCGGATGAGGGTGGCGAAGCCTTGGCATCTCTGGTGGCCGAGAACGAGGCCGCCATCATCGCACGTTGGGGTTTAGGGTTTAGGGTTTTTTGGAAAGGGGTTCGTTGAGGACTTGGCAGGCCAGGGGCTTCTGCAGGGTGGATAGGTTTTCAAGATGTCAGGGCTTTAGAGGGGCTTGTGGAAGGTAGGGTTATTAGGGCCTTGAGCTGTAAGGTTGGGTGCTCATCGGCCTCTAGAGCGGGCTCGCAGATGATTACAGGTTTTGGTAAGGCTCAGGGCCTTGTGAGAGGGCTTTTTCAAAGGGTCTCTTCTTGTATCTGAGAACCTCCGACATGAGCAGGATCTCGAGTTCAAAGAGGATGGCAGCGGCAAGGTCGGGCATGCGAAGCTTCATCGTCGACATTGACGCAGGTTAGACTTGGCTGACTGCAGTTGCACGCTGCTGAAGGATGCAAGGAGAGACACCTCAGGCATTCCCCATAGACCTAGGTAGCCCTGAAAGGGCCCCTAGAAACCCTAGAAACCCTACAAATTCTATGAACCCTATTAACCCTATAGAACCCCCAGCCTCCTAAAACCTAAACCCATCAGGGTCTCCCCTGTCGCCAGGTTGTCGTGAAGTCAACGGGTCACGAGATGCCTCCCAGGCTCGAGGTTGCTGGGACGCAGCTGCGAGTAAGGAGCCTTAGGGTAGTAGGCTGCGCTTTAGGATTTCGGGTTTAAGGTTAAGGGTCTTTACGCTCTTTAAGATTTGCAGTAGGGTGTTTAAAGGTTGTAAGGTTCAGGGTTTTGTAGAATTTAGAGTTCAAGATTCAAGGCGGTTTGGGGCGATTCGGCTTCAGCTGATGTCGCTGAGGTGGTCAAAACCTATCTGAGTGGTGCCAAGTACCGCAAGGCAGGGCCTTTTGTGCTTCCAGCTTGCATAAGCCCCTTAGGGGCTTCAGCCCCAAGAAACAAAGGACGTCAAGCCTGGTCTTCCCAGCTGCTTGTCCACGCCCCCAAAACCGCAGGCGCGCGATTGGTATGGCTTTGACTTCAGCAAGTTCGAGCCCTACATTATCCCGCCGGGGCCCCGGGAGGGTTCTTGGGTTGAAGTGATCCATGATAGGGTTTAGTGTTTTGGGTTAGGGCAGGACCTGGAGGGGCTTTTGTGTTGGGTGCTTGCTGTGGGCTTCATGGGCTGCGGGGTTGAGGTCGGTTGAAGCACCCTAAGCCGTAAACCCTAAACATCTTCCGACTGCGCCGCCTTTTCCAAGGCACGAGAAGCAGAAGAAGTTTCTGTTCTGCACGGCGCGGTGCCCGGCATGCTGATGCAGCCCTGAGTCTCTGAATGTTTAGGGTTTAGGGTTTGGGGTTTAGGGTTTAGGGCTTGGGGTTTAGGGTTTAGGGTTTAGGGCTTAGGGCTTGGGGTTTAGGGTTTGGGGTTTAGGGTTTAGGGTTTAGGGCCCTGAGTCCCTGAGAGTGATCGTTCGTCATTTTGGTGCCACGCAGGTGACAGGAACGACTTTGCCCATGCAGCCCAAGAAGGCTGGCAAAACTGGTAGGTTCAAAGCACCAGCTCTCTGAATTATGCTTCCTTTCTGCCTTATTGTAGCCGAAATCCCAATATACAGGACCATGGTTCTCTGAATTATGGTTCCTTTTCTGCCGTATGGTCAGTCGGAATCCCAATATATACAGACCATAAAAACCCTAAACCCTAAACCCTAAACCCTAAACCCTGAGTGCATCGTGACTCAGTGTTTGGAGAGTCCAGGTTGAGCGGCACGTCGAAAGCAAACGCTACAAGGACCGATGTGCACCGCACTGCGACGACACGTAAGGGTTTAGGGTTTGGGGTTTGGGGTTTAGGTTTAGGGTGTAGGGTTTAGGGTTTAGGGTTTAGGGTTTAGGGTAGGATCAAGGGCCGATGAGTTTCTCTCTAACCTCTGCCTCGCCATGGTACCTTCCCGAAGAAAACGGACGAAGACTTCAGGAGCTCCTCCGGGTGAAGGAGGAGCAGACCAAGAAGAAGGCGGAGAAGCAAGAGCTGAAGAAGAAGCGCAGGCGGACCTGGGACTCATGTGTTAGGTTCTGTTGTTGGGCAGTGCCGGATAAAACGTCCACATCATAATCGCTACTCATGTCCCTTTTCCATGCCACAGTACCTCAAGCACAGGAACTGGGAAATGCTGGCAACCATCATCCACGCAATCCTTCATCAAGTCTTGCAGGCCATATATCACGGTGGCTAGACTTCACTTGACTCTATCCTCGCCAATTCAAAGGCCGACCTTGCTCTACACGCTCCAGAGACGCCTGCTCTTGACATCTTGCGTTCGGGTTCAGGATTCAGGGTCTAGGGTTTAGGTGTAGGTTGACGATTTAAGGGTGTAGGGTTAAGAGTTGAGGGTTAGGGTTCAAGATAAAAGGGTTTCAGGTCAAAAGTCTAGAGTGTCAAATCAAGGGACTCTGCCATTTAATCGACCTTGGACTTCTTCGGCCCAAAGGCCCATAAACCTAAAACCTTCGCTCACGCCGGTCTCCAGATCCTGGCCTCCTCCCTCGAGCCGGGTTTTGGGTTTAGGGTTTCGGGTTTAAGGTGTGGGGCAAGGTTTAGGGTTTAGGGTTTCGGAGCTGCCTGCCAGGGCCCAGGCCAAAGGCAAAGTGAAGGCGAAAGGGGCGAAGGTGGGAGGGCCACATGCGCCAGTATTCACGCACCGCCCCCCCCATTGTCTCCCCCTCCCCCCTCAGCAGTTCATTCATGGTGGGTTTCGGGTTGAAGGTTTAGGGCTCAGGGTGGGGCTGCGGAGGCTCTTGGTCCCCCCCCCACTTCAAAGAAGGCTTACGGCTTGAAGATGCCGGGGATTTTGGACCCTCGCGTGCGTGTTCGTTTGTTCAGATGAGCCGCAAGGGGCTCCCTTCCAAACTCGAGCACCTCTCCAGCCCTGAACTTTCAACCAGCCGAAGCTCCACCCCGCCTTCTTCAACTTCAACCGCCTCAGCCTTCAGTTCCTCTCAACTCCGTCAGCCTCCCAAACCTACCCCAACCTCCCGAACACCCTCCACCTTGACCTCCCCCAAACCCCCTGAAAGAGCATCCAAGAACATCAGGCCCTCAAGCCCAAGTCCACCAAAGATGCCCAAGCCTGGGCGCTCAGCCAGATTTAGGGGTTCAGGGTCGAAAGATGAATTCTACTTTGCGTAAGAGCTCCGCGTTTACACGGGGCTTAACCAAACAGAGGCTACTTGAAATCCGGCCCGAAAGTGAATGACTTGAAGCGGCCTCGCACTTTAAAGCAGTTGGGCCCCAGTGGCCCTAGTAGGGATTAATTTAATTTCACTCATACTTGTATATACTGGGCTTTCAAGAGCAAGGCTTAGAAATTCATGCCGAGCTTAACAGTAGGCGCATTCGCAGTCTCAGCATGTTGCAGCTGCCTGAGCCCCTTGAAAGCACGGCCTATAAGCCCTCTGAAACACCTAAGCTGCTGCTGTCGGGACCTCGGTGGTGCGGGCCCGTACCCTCAACCCAGATCACCCAGGCCCAAACACACTGAGCCGGGGCTTGCAGGGCCTTGGAAGGGCAATGTACTACTAATTGCTTAAGAACATTATTTCTTATTCTTTTGGGGTTCTTAAGCAAATAGTAGTGTAGGGGTTGCCCCCCCCCCCCCCCCCCCTCTCAGTCTTTTGAAGAAGGTCCCAGCACTTCGCTTGCAACTTGAGGCCGTAAGCAGCCCAGATGCCAAAGGCCAGGGTCAGAGACTATTGTGCTTTATGATAACCATATTATGCGATTACCATACTACTATTTCTACAATTATGGTTTTACCATACTACTATTTCTACAATTATGGTTTTCATTATCATTCTTTGTACTTGCTAGTGTCATCATGTTTTTGTGATCACGGTCAATCCTTGATATCAGAAGCAGTACGGTCATCATTAAGGGTTGCATGATCGGTCGTGGCGCTTTTTGGGTTTTTTGGGAGTCGAAGGTTTTAGGGTTTAGGGTTTAGGGCGAAGGGCGGAGGGGCTTCCAGGCTCAGAGTTTCGGGGTGCTGCCTGCCGCTGGAGAGGCTCAGCTGACGCAGGGAAGGCCAAGAAACAGCCTGCCAGAAGCCGCTGCCCCTGGGGATGTAGGGGCATTTAGGGTTTAGGGTTGAGGGTTGGGGGTTTAGGGTTTAGGGCGTTAGGCTGTTGCAGTATTTGAAGTTGCGCACCTCGACATCACGAAAGCCAGCACTGTTGAGGCAAGCTGCTGAAACGAAAGAAGGACATGCCGCAAGGAGCGGCCTGAATTTCTCTGCTACAGTTGCTACAGCCTCCATGGGCTTCATTCATGCCCATTGCGGCCAGGCGTGATCAAGAAGACAGCGAAAAAAAGCAAGCAGGTGGGTCTGGAGAGTCTGTGAGCACCAGCACATCTGGAAACAAAGTGCAGACATCAAGTGCCAGGCGTGACAGCGACGCAGCGACGCCCCCTCCATGCCCGCGTTGCTGCCAAAATCCCGCAGCTGCACGTGCACAGATGTGGCATTCATGGTTCAGCATGCAAGCTTCTAACCTCGTCAATTTCATCATGGTCTCAGCACAGCTCACGGCTTCGTGTGCAATTGCAGAAACCGTGGTGTAAGTACTGAGGGCACTGCACGGCTGAGGCTAACAATGAGCATGGAATGTGGGGACTTCTGCTCTCAAGAGCTCCAAGCTGTCGAGCCAGACTTGACTAGCATGTTCGGAAGAATTTATAAGCACCGGAAAGTCAGGTTTTGCAGGGCTCTGGCTCCCATGACGAAGTTGACGAGCAGCTAGCAGTTGGTACGCACTTCCCACCTATGACAGACGTGTGTCGTGGCATGTGAGCTCTTGCCTAGCTAGCCGCGACATGGCCAGCATGGCGAGGGCGGAGGCCAAGCGTCCGGGGCCAATGTGGTGGTGGCCTCGGTTCAATTTTCAAACGCTTGCACCTGCAAGCTGAGCTGCCTGGAGGTTTGAAAGGTCTGATTCCTTCAACCCCCACCCCTTAGAGCAAATTTAAGTGCATCTGCCGGACGGGGCGAGGCTGCCTGAGCTTCGGCGCCCGGCAGCTCGCACCCAGAGGCCTTCCAGGGTTGAGAAGCTTGAATTCCGCCTGGTTTGCACAGCCTGCTGTCCGCTACTGGTAGTCAGCTGAAGGTGTTGCTCCTGGTGCAGGACTCCGCTGCAGGGAGGGATTGTTTGTGTCAGTGAGAAGAGTACACCGCAAACCTATTGCACTGTTGTTGACGTTGTCTGACTTTGTTGATGTCTGACGAGAAATTGTGCGATATTGTGGCAGCTCGAAGAGTCCTGCTTTCCTGCGCACCGTCGAGACCCTCGGCAATGCCGGCCGACGGAACTGATCAGCTCCCTTGGAGCGTCATTGTTCACAATGCCGGGTCCACAGCAGCTGAGAGCTTCGAGCAGCACATGCGCTCTGCATACAGCAAGGCCCATCTCCACAAGTGTATCTTGCGCATTTGCAGGGAAGTTGATGGTCAAGACTACATCATGAAGTCAAAGTTCAGGCGTGAAATGTTCCGGCGTGTGGAGACAGTTTTGCCTGACCAGCTTGTTCGAGAGTTCGACAGGGTCTTGCAAGAGCTTCTGCAGACACTTGAAGAGACTCTGGCGGCAGCGGTCACCACTGTCAATGGTGATGATGTTCGGATGCCTTTGCAGCAATGCCTGCAAAGGCTTCGAAGAGAGCTGAATGAAGCTGTCCAGGTAGAAGAAATGGAAAACTTTCGAAAGAATCTTGCAGCTGTGGGCATCGTATTTGTGGCGTCCTTTGGAATTGCTACTGCTGTGGGAGCAGGAGCTGGACTAGGTCCGTTTGCAGCACCGCTTGCAATTGGTGGTGCGGCAGCAGGAGGAGTCTGGCTTGGATCTCAAGCAATTTGGAGTGAAGACGACGAAAGAGCTCGCTTTGTGGATGCGCTCGTGGAGGAGATCTTGCCAACCTTGGACATTGGAAGGCTGACAAGGCGTGTGAAGAGCCTCCTGAAGAGCCACATGTCGAGCTTGGAAAAGCTTGTGCATGACGCCCCCAAGGATCCCTTACTTGAGTCGCTGTGGACTCCTGTGGATGGTGACGCGCAGGCTCCATCTCAGCCGGGAGCCTCATCCGAGCATGGCAGTGCACAGGCCGACGTTCCAGAGCAGGCTGCCAAGAAGTACATACCGTTTAGAAGTGCTGTGTGGCATGATCCAAGAATTGACAACCCCGAGAATCAGTCTTACTTGGGCTTGCTGCGAGAGACGTATGCGGACTTGGTGTGCTCCGATGACTTTATGCATGCTGCTGAGGAGGTGAAGAAGAACCCGCTCACAGCGTTCACAATCATCACCTCCGGAGCCAAAGCTAAAGACTTGGTGCCTCTGGTTGGCAAGCTTGCCAATGTCACTGCCATTCACGTCTTCTGCAGCAACCCGGCCTACCACAAGAAGCAGCCATGGTTTTTGCAGAACTGTATGGAGAAGGGAAAGGTTGTGGACATCTACACCAATGTTGGCCAGCTTGTGAATGGTCTGAAAAGGGTGCCGGAAATGCCTCGCGTGGCATTCATCAATGCAGAGGAGGTGGCTGCATCTGTTGACGAGGCTAAGCGTGTTTATTTACAGTCAGATGTTCAAGACTACGTTGAGCAAACATCCTTTACTGAAGCAGTTGCCTACTTGTTAAAGTTGCGGGAGAACAAGCACGGCATACGTGCTGCCAGTGATGAGGGTGTCCGATTGGCCAAGATCTTTGACCCCTCGCATGGCAAGTTCGAGGAGCTTCTCAAGGTGTACACACAGGAGGACATACACGTTTATGATACCCTAAACTCCGCCCTGCGCGTCAAAGAGCGGACACAGGGGCTGCTCAAGCTGGCCAAGCTTGCAGAAGCCTTCCTTTTCGCAATGCAGAAGGCAGCTGTAGCGGAGCCGTCCCTGGCTTTCTCAGGAATGACTTACCGTGCAATGTGGGTTTCAGATTCCGAGGTCGCGCAGTATGAGGCCAGCAAGGACGATTTCATCTTCTTCAGAGCATTCACCTCAACTTCCCGGGACAAGCAAAAGGCTGCAGACTTCGCAGAGCGGAGCTGGTGCAAGAAGGGCAAGCGAGGCATGAAACTCATGATGCGCATTGATTGCTCAACTCTTGATGCAGGAGTGTCGTGTGTCCGCCCAATGAGCATCATGAAGTTTTCAGCGTTCGCGCATGAGCAGGAGGTTCTCATTCCGCTTCTTTCAGGCTTCCAGGTGGTGAGCGTGCAGCGCCGCGGCGAGTTTTGGCTGGAGGTACGCTTGAAACTGGCATTCTTGATGCCTGATATGACGGCAGCTTTCATCTATGCATTCCTCTGACGAAAGAGTGATGCCGTCGTGGTTTATCTTTTGCTTTTGACGCTCCAAAGCGATCCCTTGATCCCTTGATACAAAGCGGCGGTATGCCTGACAGACAAGCTTTTGTTAACATTGAATGCATGTATGCTGTGGTCTGATCAGTGTCTAAGCTAGTAGCGAGCGTCATCAATTCAGGAGCCAAACAGCCAGGCACATGCGCCGCAGTTTGCGACAAGGTGTGTTTGGGCGATGCTTGGTAGGCCCCATTTCGCATTCACCTTGTGGGCACTCTGGTGTGTTTGGCTTCTCTGCAAGCCTTCTGCGTGGTGCTCTCAGAGGCAGAGCCCTGGACGGCTGGACCGCCACAGCAGCAGTGCAGCTGGCATCAGATAAAGTATCGCATCAGCCGTGCTGTTAAGGTGAAAGGTCAGCTGTGTTTGGCAATCGTGTACGGTTGGTCTGGTTGAGTTGCCATCTGCATGCACTGCAAGCCTCCATCCACCCCCCCCCAATCTTGTGCGAAGGAGCGGCGTGCCCTCAGGGCTTTCGTGTTGAAGGTGGGCCTCATTGAAGCAGAGGTGGGTGCAGTAGGAAAGGATAGACTAGCGAGTGGGCACGTGTCGCAACTGGCTTTTGCATCTTAGTTGGGAGACTTACCCGGGCTCAAGCTACTGAGGATCCATTTTCTGGAGGCCATAGATTCGGTGACATCCGCTTTTTTCTGAGGAGCGTAAGCATCGCTGCAGCATCACTCTGGAGCAAATAGTAAAGCAAGTCCGCGCATTTCCCCACAAGGGCGCTTCGGGTTCTGGTGAAACTGCCTCCAAAGCGCCAGCTTTGCAGCAGGCGTCCCAAAGCAAAGTGCAGATGTCCAGCAACAGACATTACAGCGACGCCCCTCCCATGCGTGCTGGCGCCAAAGAAGCCGCAGGGCCCCTCCGGGGGCTATGCTCGCCGTGTGAGAGAGAAGGAGAGAGAAGTTCCACCGGCGTCGGTGAAAATACCCAACAGAGGCCACAAGGGCACTGGGCGCGGGCATACTTCCAGCAGCATGGGCTGCTTTAGCAAGCAGTGTTTGCTGCGACACTAGCGCCAGGCGTGACAGCGATGCCCCCTCCATGCGCGTTGCTGCCAAACTCCCGCAGCTGTGCGTGCACAGATGTGTGGCGTTCATGGTTCGTCATGCAAGCTTTTAGCTTCGTCAACTTCGTCAGCACAGCGCACGGCTTCGTGTGCAGTTACAGGAACCGTGGTGGAAGTACTGAGGGCACTGCACGGCTGAGGCTAACAATGAGCATGGGATGTGGGGACTTCAACTCTCAAGAGAGTGGCTTTAAGCTGCCTAGCCCGACTGGACCGACATGATGACATGATCAAAGGGATCCAAAAGCACCGGAAGGTCAGGTTTTGCAGGGCCCTGGCTCTCATGAGGAAGATGACTACAAGCAAGCAGCTGGCACGCACTTCCCGACGTGTGTAATCGCATGCAGTGCACTGCGGTGGCATGTGATCTCTTGCCTAGCTAGCCGCGACATGTCTCGCATGGCTACGGCGGAGGCCAATGGTCCGGGACCATGTGGTGGTGACCCGCAAGCTGCGCGGTTTGACAGGGTGGATTCCTTAAAGCCACTTGCCTAATTAGTAGTAGAGTAGGCAACCTTTAACCTTTTAGGGGTGGTAGAATCCTTATATTGCCCAAAGGTTAACCTTTAATTCCGCCAGGTTACTGGACAACTAAGTTTGTCTCCCAAGGGCTTGAGCTTGGCTTGATTCCACAGTGGCCAGGAGCATGTTTAGCATCGGAGCGATTGCTCAAGCTTTGAAGGCCTTCAATCCTTCTTGATTCTTGACCCTGACCAAACCACCCAAAATTATGTCAAGATGGTCCCAGAAGTCAGGCAGATTCCGCCTGCCCTTCCTATTGTTCCACTCATGGCTGTGTCTCAAATGCCATGCAAGTCAGCTTTATCCAAAGTGCTACTTCAAGAGGAAATCAGGAAGGAAGGAGAAGGAGGAAGAGGGATCCCCCGAAAGAAAGACGCAGAGCGAGCTGGAAAGAAGGAAGTTTGGTCTTCTTCTCATATGCAGCATGGCTTGGTGGCGTGTTATATGTGAAATGCGGCGGTAAACTGCCGCAAATCGGACAGTCCTCCAAAGTTTGATGACAGTTCTTGTTATAAGAGCCTGGACTGTGGCCTACTGTGGCCTCTGCGTTCATCTTGCATTCCTTAGGAATGCCTTGTGACTGGAAATTATGCGCAGCAAAGCGACCGTACCGACATGGTACCAAACAGTGTGCAATGCATTGCGGCGTTGCTTGCCCGCATGTGCAGGTGACTGACCACACGGCACAGCGCCAGGTGACCACCCCGAGGGTAGCAATGGGTAGTGACTAAAAGCAGTGCACGGCTGAGACTGACCATGACCATGAGATGTGGGGATTTCCGCTCTCAGGAGATTGGCTCCAAGCTGCCTAGCCAAACTGGACCCGCATGTTTAGAGGGACCCATAAGCACCAGACAGTCAGATTTTGCTGGATAAGCAACACAGCCACAGGCGGTACAAGGCATTGGCAGAAAAAGAATCTATCAGTTGCCCTGCCGCGAGACGGGAGATGGCCAGCATGGCTCGGGCGGAGGCCTTGAATGTAGGCCCCAAACCCCTTGGGCACGATAACTCCTTGAAAGCTCCCTACCCCCGTCTCAACATCGGAGCTAAGCGCACGCACCATCGGGAAACTCGGAGGACTCGGAGAAGTCAGACTTCTGGGAGCAAGGCTACCTGAGCTTCAGGGGCTTGCTAGCACCGGAGGCGCCGTGGGGTGGTTCAGGTTTTGGGGTTTGGGGGTTAAATCAACTAGGGCAGATATACATAAATGTATCTATGGTTGAAAGGGATGTTTGGGAGTTTGGGGTATACAGAGTTTCTTTCGGTTGGGACCTGCTTGGAATCATAGATCAGCACGGACATGGTCCTGAGTTCGCCCTTGGCCCCCGAATCCGACGTGAAGCCTCGTTGGCCGCGAGGCTCCGGCGATCCGAGCGCGCATGGACTTGATGATGAGCCTCGTGCGGAGAGAAGACACCGCAGGGTCTCGCTTGCTGATAGATGTCTGCACTTTAGGAGAGGCACACGTAGATTGTATAGATTGGCGTTCCGTCGTGGTGCCCCAAGAGACCCCCCGGCCCAGCTGCCCAGCAGATCTCAGCTGCCTTGCAGCACAGGAAGGATGCACCTGCTGCAACGGCGGACTGGAATGCCGTGGATGCTGGCGGGGCTTCTTTCGTCCTGGCCGTGGACGACAAGGGCCAGACAATCCCTGGGCGCATTCTCAAGGCCGCCTATAAGCCATGAAGGCCCCATGAGAAGCTGTGAAGGTGTGGCGGATGTGGAGGTCTCAGAAGTCGGGAAGGTGAAGTTTCCCCGAACCCTATAAACCCTGAACCCTAAGAGGTCCAAGCTGCGGCCCTCGCCTCCAGCGCCGTGCTGGAGGCCCACGAAGCCTCCCTTTGAGCTGCGCGCGTGGGAGCTTTACCCTAAACCCTAAACCCAACCCTAACCCCCAAACAGTTGGAGGAATTTGGGGGATTCAGGGGATGAAGAGGATTTGAGCAAGTAATGAGGGGCCCGCAGCGCGCTTTCCTGCAAGGTCTTCCGGTCCCCTGCCGTGGTCGCAAAGGTTAAAGAGCTTCTTGGGTCAAAGAGTTTCTACTGTAGCTGCCTCCTTCCCCGATTCGCTCTGCTAAAAATCGGCAAGCTGCCTCTTATGTATTTTTCCTGATTCCAGGCCATCAGAGGCATCCCAAGGGGGTTGGCACAGGAGGCTTCGGGTTTCGGTTTGTCTTGCTTGTAAGTGAAGGCTCTGGGTTTGATGGCGGCCGTCCGATTTCTCAAGCGCTGTGCTATTGTTAATTTGGCCTTGACTTGGCCTGCGTGCCCCATGCACGCATTAGTTCTATGCTGTCCACCCCCATCCCTTGATCTGTCAACTTTTTTTGTTTCGAATCGCATGTGCTTCTTTCTTTCTTGCCTTGTTCATCTTACACATCTTCCAACAAGGCGTGAGTGACCGGGGGGGGGGGGGGGGGGGGGGGCGGGGCGATTCTGCAAGAAAGAATTGGAACCAGTACGAACCTGGACTGATGCCCGTGGACATCTTCAAAGCTCTTCCAGTTTGAAAGATGTTCACAGTTTCTGCCCGTACTTTAAGTGTGTGTGTGTGTGTGTGTGTGTTTGGTTGCTTACCTTCCCTTCGTGCATGCTTCTTGACCTGACTGAGGCTGTACAGCTTCTTGGGTCACGATGTCCCCGAGCACGTGGATGTGTTTGGGACGAAATTCTTCCCCATGTGGCCTGGTGGGGTTTCTGTTGATTGGCACCAAGATTGCCACTACTTTGGCACGGCTTCGTCGAGGATAATATCCTGCGGAGTCTACCTCGAAGAGACAGATGAGGAGAAATTTTGGGAAACTCGATGACCACATGTCAGAACTGCAAAGGATCATGGTACTCAGAAGATATGTTAGAATCTGAACCCGCAGCCAAATCTGAAGCCCTTGACACGCACCCATTGATAATGAGCCTCCGTTCGCAGGGCTACATTCTGCTAGAGTTGGGAGGGCCGGTTTCATTTGGGGAGGAGAACGGTTGCCTCCAAGTCGTGCCGGGGTCCCACACCTCGGACTTCGAGCACAAACCTGGTAGCGGCTTGCACGCGCAGGGCGAGTGGGTCACACCAGGCTGGGTGGTTCATGATGGCTTTCGCATCCTACCAGGGTTCAAGGGTGACTTTGCCTCAGAATCTAAACCCCACCAAACCCGACAAGAAACCGTACGAAGCCTGAACCAAACTTAACTTACTGTTGGTTAGCAGAAAATGGGGAATGAGGATGAATGAGGTACCCTATATAATCCCGTAAAGGGTATATGTATATGTATATATATATATATATAGGGCCCTAAGTCCCTCGTTCCCTGCTAGCCAACAATAAGTTAAAACTCAACCCTGCAGATACCTCTGCAACCGTGGTGGACATCGTGGTCCCGGCGGGGTCGGTAGTGCTCTTCAACTCCCGGCTGCTCCACGCAGCAAGGCAGAACAAGCACGCCGCCCGCACGCGCTACTCTCTGCGCCTTGGCTGGAGGCGGTCGAAGTATGAAGTAGGGGGCCTTTCGAGAGTTTAAAGGGTTCGGCGGCGGAACAACATGAACGTTCTGAGCCCGATGCGGCAGTGCTTTGGAGCCTGAGGGTTCATGATGTACCGTTTGGTGGGGGGTGGGGGGGGGGGGTTGGGGGGGTGGAGATATATTTCAAGCTGCGGGTTGACTGCGCGAAGGTTTGGACATTTCGTCCCTTCAGAGCTGGACTTCAGCTGGCGGGGCACCGACTTCTCGCATGGGAAGTATCTGGATCGGCATCAGATTTACTGAGCTGGGCACGGAAAAATGCTGCGCCCTGGCTTCCTTACAGTAGATGCCTGCCATGCCAACGTCAAGCTCCAACCGCTGAATCGAAGATAATGTTTCGTAGTCGGGGCTTCAGGGCGTAGTCATGATCACGATCATGACAAGAGCAACCGTAGCCATAGCAATCGTTTAGTGATCAAGGATGCTGGAAATACTACTGAGGCTGATGCACGTCGATGCGGCGGGGGCCGGGGGGTTTACTGACCTTATTGCTTTCTCGTCTGCCGGCTCGAGGGCGGAATGCCCAAGCAGCTGTTTGCTGGTAGGGCGTGGCTTGAAACCCGCAGGCAGCAAGCGCAGCACCAGTCTCCCACCCACCCCTACGCCGTACGCACAGTGGCGCAGCGAGATCAATACCCTACATGACCCTGTTGCGCAATTTACGCGCCCTTAGTTCAGAGCCGCGAAGCGCCTCTGCACAACCCGCCGACGGCAGCGTGGGGGAAGGCCTCAGCCCAGACCTGTACTTATGTGGGGTTCGTTGTACATCATGCGTCTTTTTGGATTCCGCCGTGGTGTACTGTGTATGTACTTTTGGTATCGCTCCATATCACATCACTCCTAAAGTCCGAAATTCTTAGAGTTTGGGTGCCAAACAGAACCTTTGAGGGCTGCTACCAAGTCTGCGCCAGGCCTGGTCTAGTCATGGCGGCCGCGCAAGAGAGGACCCTGAGACCAGGCGTGCAATTGTGTGTGCGCGTGGGGACGTTGTAATTTGCGGCCATTGCCTCGTAGACCTATGTGATTGTTGCGACAAGTGAGTCAGGGCGGGCATCGAAGACTCCAACCATTGCCAAGAGCCACTCGCTTTCCTCGTTGAAGCAGGTACAGTCGGGAACTCAGGCGCTTCCACCCAAGGACTCGTCGGTAACCTTTTCTTCCACTGGTACGTGGTAGATGGCAGATAGACCAGGTATTGGAAAGCACCCCCGCCCCCGCCTCCCCACGGGGGATGAGTCACGCCCAGAATATTGGCATCAGCATCCTGATGATGCTACTACAAGCATCAGCATCGGGGGATCGTCATATTCCCCATGTGCTGAGTTCTGTCGACATCCGACGCCGAGTCTTAGCAGCGGTGGATAAGCCTGAGCCTCAGAAGCAGGTGGTTACAGCAAGGAAGTCAGTGGAGTTGCGTGCCTCTGCTCTGGGCGGGTGCTAGGGCCCCCAAAGGCGCCAAGAATCCAGAATCAGTAGAGCTCGGTACCCCGCAGCTTCTCAGAGATCTCGGCTTCCCAGGTACCCGGGCCTGAAGAGCGCCGAGGAGTACGTTGCGGCCCGGTCCTTGGAGTAGGATTGTGTGGCAGCAGCTGCAACGGCGCTGTCGATGGCTTCTGGCCGCAATGCGGCCGTGGGGGAGCTAGCGAAGAGTAGAATAGGACTTGTGGGGCAGAACCCACCTTAGGGGCACCGAGATACTCCGAGGTCTGCGGGATTCTTTGCAGGGTTCGCTGCGGGTGGGCGCTCCAAGGATACTCTGCAGGATTCTCTCCAGGGTTCCCAATTAGTGGGAGGAAAAATCCCATGCCAGGAGAGTGCAAGGAGAAGAGCTGAGTTAGCAGCCCAACAGCCCCAAAAAGGGGGGGGGGGGTGGGAACAACCTAAGCTTCATAAACCCCATAGACCGCACAAACCCTATGAACCATATAAGCCCCAAACCCAAAATCCTCAAACCTTAAGAACCCCTTAAAACCCTATATATATATATAAACCCTTTAAGTAACAAACACCCTTAGATTTCGCTTAATGCGGAGGCCAAGGCCGGAGCGGCCCGGGAGAAGGACCGTCAGGCGGAGAAGGAGCAGCTTGGCTCAATTACACTTTGGGCTTAGGGCTTGGGGCTTTGGGTTTGGGGTTTGGGGTATAGGGTGCTCTGCTGTTCTTCGTTTTAAAGAGCATGTTGTTAAGTTGTGTGTTGAAGTATGGTTTAAGGTTTGGTTGCGATATTTTGTGATCCTTCAACACTGCGGGTTTCGAAGCTTGGCCCGTGGGAGGTTTTCAAGTTGCTGAGAAGCCTGGCGCAATGTCCAACATAAACTTTGGTTCAAGCACAGGTATTGGGCGAATCTGAAGAAGTTCAAGGATGACGCTTCGTCCTGAGTTCTGAGTCGAAACACAGATTTTGCTTCGGGCACGCCAAGCTGGCTCCTCTCGCAGGTCAAGTCCGTGTTCAAACTTCCGTCCGACAGCTATGCAGGCAAAAGAAGTGTGCAGGAGGCGTGACGCAAGACTCTCCTGAATCGGTTGAGCCTTTTGATGATGACCTGTTCGTAGCGGTTCGCACAGGAGATCATGGAGAAGGCTGGGACTTCAGTCGCGCTGCCCTGCCCAAATTGTCACCTGCTTGTGCTCGTACGCCCCGTATGTGTGCACAAATGAGGTGCTTAGGCGAATCGGGAGTTCGGCCTCCAACGTACAGAAAAACCCCTAAACCTTAAAGCCGCAGCCCTATACCCCAAACGCTTTCACCTCCTGATCTTGCTAATTTATATTTTTATTCTGATTATTGATTACTAGTATTATTATTATGATTATGAGTATACCCAGAAGGCTCCCCTAAACTTACCCGAAACCCGAAGGTGGAGAAGGGCCAAAGAGCCTTGCAAGAGACGGATGAGGCCTACAAGAGCCCCGGCTGCCATATGCGTATTGCCCTCCTCTACCACACGAACGAGGAAAAGCCCTACAAAACTGTCCCTAACATGTGATTATCATTAATATTCTATTGCTATTCTTCTTAGTATTATTGCTATTATTATCATTATCATTAAGTTCTTCTTATTATTATTATTATCATCATGATTATTATGAGTATACCCACACTGCTCCCCTAAACCCGAAACCCAAAAATTGGGGGGGAGTTCGAGCGTTCTACTCGACCTTTTTGGGGGGATTGAGTCATGAACCCCAGCAGCCGAGGATGTGGCTCCAGGCCAGGGCGCTCAGCAGAATGGGGAGGAAGGGTTTAGGGTTTAGGGTTTAGGGTTTAGGGTTCAGGGTTTAGGGTTTAGGGTTTAGGGTTTAGGGTTCAGGGTTCAGGGTTTAGGGTTCAGGGTTTAGGGTTCAGTGTCTGTTGGGGGGTATCCTGGAGCACTGCCACGTCCATTCCTGCAATAGTTGCTAGGACTTGGGCTTGCTTGGGTTGAGCCAGCAAGCCTGCAGTCTGGCGGGATCCGACAAGTTTCAGGGCAGGGTGTATAGGGTTTATAGGGTTTTTAGGGTTCATAGGGTTTATGGGGGTTGTAGGGGTTGTAGGGTTTATAGAGTTTATAGGGTTTAGGGTTGGAACATGTGGGGTGGCCAGGCAATGCAGGAGAGGGCCGAGGAGAAGAAGCAAGAGAAGATCCAACAGAGGCAGGAGAGCACCCCCCCCCTTGCCTCCTCCCCCCCGTGCCTCTTCCTAGGGCACCTCGGAATTTCTAGGTTCTTGAATGAATCCTCAACTTTAGGGTCTTGGACCCTAAACCCTAAACTCTCAAACTTAGATACGCCCCCTTCCAAAAAACCTGGGCCTCTGACCCCAAAGAAGAGCCTGCCGCAGTTCTGCAGTTGCAAGGCTCGGGGGGGGGGGGGGGGGGGGGGGGGGGAAGGGGGGGTGGGTTTATGTAGGCCTTGTAGGGTTCAGGGTTCAGAGGGCCAATTCGGATTTAGGGTTTGGGGTTTAGGGTTTAGGGTTTAGAGGGCTGGTTGGAGTGGAAGGTTTCAGCCTTCTTTAGGGTTTCAAAAGGGTCTAGGGCTGAGGCGTTTAGTTTTTTTGCCCTCCGCCGGAAGGAAGCTCGACATCGAGGAGGCGGCACAGCGCAAGCTGGCGACGCAGCGGCAGTTTTTGGCTTCCGAGTTGGGGTTAGGGTTTAGGGTTTAGGGTTTAGGGTTTAGGGTTTAGGGTTTAGGGTTTAGGGTTTAGGGTTTAGGGTTTAGGGTTTAGGGCACCGGGCCGAGGAGGCGTTTCGTGTATTTGGGGGGTTACCTTCTTGAACCTTAAACCCTACAAACCCAAAGCCTGAACCCGACAAAAGCACTCAACCCTACAAGCCCCAAGCCCCTAACTTCCCCCCATAGACCCTCGAAACCCTCGAACTCCTCCAAGCCCCCTTAAACCCTCTCTCCCAGCCACCCCGAAACCACCCCGAAATCCTCTAAAAGTCAAGAGCCTTTCCGGGACTTCGGGTTTAGGCGGTTTAGGGTTTCGGGGCCAAGTTTGGGGTTTCAGGGTTTTCAGGGCCGCATCTTACTAGCGTTGAACCCTGGGAGCCACGCCTTGCAGTCTCAAGGGACTCAAGGGGGAACCCTTGTACGGGACCTTAGGGGTTTTTGGGGACTATTTAGGGGCTACTTAGGTACATAGGGACTATGTAAGGTATATATGGGGCTATGTAGGGGAATAAGATAACCGGCCCCTCCTTATACCCCTTGACAGTCCCAAAAAGGAACCATGCTGTACTACGCGCACGCACTGTCAGAGAACTTGCGCTCAACCCCTAAAATGCTCCAAAAGAGACCCCGGACTTCTAGAAAAAGCGCCCCCTCCCAGGATCTTCAGGCCAGTCTACAGAAGGACAGGAACACTCCGAAACTGACGGCTTCAGTAGGAAAGGGTAAGGGCATGAGGCATCGTAGGAAGGTTTGGGGCTTAAGGTTCAAGGGCGACTTGGGGGTTCATATGGATCTAGTTCGTCCCCGCGGAGCTCTGTACCCTATAACTCATGACTACATCATATGGCGGTCCTTGTTTCAAGAGGTTGGGTATTATTCGGATTCAAGGGCTTCAGGGTTGAGGATCGATTTCAGATGCCTTGGTGATGTTTATGGCTTCGCAGGGTGCGGAGCCATGAGCTGGGTTAGCACTGTCCCTCGCCATGGTACTGTCACCCGTATTCCTCTCATGAAGCCCCAAGCCCTAAACCCTGAAGCCTAGTTAGTGGAGATGGTTTCACCCTACGTTCCAGGAGCTTGCGGACAAGGCCGCCGGCTACAAGGCGGCGGGCCTTTTGTCGATATAGGGTGTGGTGGGTGGGTTGTAGGGGGTTTAGGGGCTTAGATTCTTGTGCAACCTACCTCGGTTGAGGTTCTGCGGAGGGTTTCATGGCTAGATTTTAGAGGTTTGGGGCTGGGTCACCTAGTCTTGTAGGTTGTCATGAGAAAGCCCCCAGAATTTCAAAATTCGGTGAGCAGCCGAAAGACAAGGTTTAGGAGGGTTTAGGGCGCGGAGCTCTCGTGGCACCTCGGGGCGCCTAGCACCATGCACACACCTCCACGAAATGAAACACCGCAACCCCCTAAACTTAGGGTTTAGGGTTTAGGGTTTAGGGTTTAGGGTTTAGGGTGCCTAGACATATCACCCTAAGTCTCCCACCCTAAAACCCCAAAATGGTCCAAGCCCGGAAGCCGGGAAGGAGAAGGAGAAGGCCTACTGGAATTGGTTGGCCGAAGCCAAGCAGGCTGGGCTGACTCTTGCGGAGTGGTTGAGGGTTTTGGGGACCCCAAACCCTGAACCCTGAGCTCTCTTTTGCAGAGTGTTTGAGAGTTTTGGGGACCCCAAACCCTGAATCCTGAACTTTAAGGGTGTTGAAGGAAACCCTGAACCCTGAACTCTAAACTCTTGAGCTTTGTAGGGGGTCCAGCTACAAGTCCCGAATAATTTAGGCCGTCAGGCCCCCGAGTGCCCTTCTGACGACAAGTGTCGCCTCGCCCGCTCACATCTCCGCACCGGCGCAAGCGCAATCACAGCGCAGGTCGTGTTTTTAGCTTTGCAACCTCGATGCCTTTGCGGTGGCTGATGGATGGGAATGATGGGAATGATGGGAATATGACTCATGAGGCTGGCAGTCCTGCGAGTGGTCTGAAAGAAGCTACGCCCGCATTGGGCGGCCGGAGCTTGAAGGACCCAGGTGTAGCAGCACCCCCTGGGTGGCCCATGGAGTCAGGGAACAGCAGCAACAGCAACACGCCCACGCCCACCCATACAGAGGTTACAGGCTATGGCTCCTCGAGGAGTGAGGCAACAACGGTGGCCAGCAGGCAGGAGGGGGGTCATGATGGGACATCGCAGGCGAGCTATCCATTCTTGCCAGGTGTTGTGCAAGAAGTTCCGTGCAGATCCTTGCCAAAACGTTTTGGAAAGGCACAGGCTTTACACGGGATGGTGCATTCGCTCCAAGTCAAGCAAAGCGTTTGCAGCAAGCTCGCACCATCTTCGTCAAAGCTTTGCAGACTTGCCAGAGGTAACGAGGGGCTGCCGACGATCGATGCTGCCAGTCTGGCTGGATTGAAGAAGATTTTGGAACAGGTAAAAGCACACTTTTCAAGCTTGTCCATTTCCCCCACGCCTCCTGTGCTGTTTCGGCACAACAACTTCTACACACCCTGTAGCCTCGAGGTTTGTCTGGGTCAGAAAGTGGAGTTGTGGCCGCTGGTATCTCACCCACCAGGCTGTTGCTTCGTGGTTGTACCGAAGCTTCCGCTTGGACTCGTTCTCGACGAGCGATCAGGCTTGGTGCATGGCAGGCCGCGCGAGCCAACCGCAGGGCAAGTGAAGTACCACGTGGTTGCCCAGATCCCGGCGCGATCTCCACCGAAGGCACATGTTGCATTTATCAAGCTCACGGTCATCGAGGGGTGGCCAGCTAGTGACGATGAGGGCTCACAGGCTGGAGGTGCTTCATCTTGTGATTAGTGTGCAGGGACAGATGGGACAGACCGCCCGAACACTCTGAATTGCCAGTTCAACAGCAAAACGTCAATCAGCTGAGGCACCTCCTGCTTTGCGGTCGGTCGTTTCCCCTTTCCATCTGGGAGCGTGGCAGACTTTGACCCCGCTGTACCTTTAAAGCCGCGGACCTGGGCTTCTCAATTCAAGCAAAAAAGGCTGCCCAGGTCCTCTGTCTTGACTTCTCGTCTCTCTGGCCTGAAGAATAAACACGAGCCAGGCGTCGCCGTGTCCGCTTGTTGTGATGCAGATCAACCACCACAACTGCTCGGCATCAAGCCTGCAGCGGCGTGGCGTCTGTAGAATATGCTTAGAGTCTGTTGCAGCAATGACTTAGTAGTAGAGTAGGTCTCCTTTAACCTTTTCGGGGTATTATATTCCCTACATAATCCCAAAGGTTCACCTTGAGTTCCCCGAGGATTCTGGACAGCTAAGATGATTGTTGCCACCCGGAAGAGTTTGAGCCGCGCAGTGGCGGTGCATTGTGCACCCCAGTGTGGGAACGCAGAGACTCGTTTCCGGCCTGTTTGGGGTTTAGGGTTTAGGGTTCAGCATCTCAAGTCCAAGCATACACTAGTCAAGCAATTACTCCAGGAAAATACCCACCCGCCCAAAGAATCCCACAACATTAAGAAAATATTTCACTTATAGAACGACCTTGCCCGTCAAAAAAATGACCTTGCCCAGTAAAAGAATGACCTTGCCCAGTAAAAAAATGACCTTGCCCAGTAAAAAAAGTGACCTTGCCCAGTAAAACAATGACCTTGCCCAATAAAAAGATGACCTTGCCCAATAAAAAATGACCTTGCCCAGTAACAAAATGACCTTGCCCAGTGAAAAAATGACCTTGCCCAATAAAAAATGACCTTGCCCGGTAAAAAATGACCTTGCCCAGTAACAAAATGACCTTGCCCAGTGAAAGAATGACCTTGCCCAATAAAAAATGACCTTGCCCAGTGCAAAAATGACCTTGCCCAGTAAAAAAAGGACCTTGCCCAGTAAAAAAAGACCTTGCCCAGTAACTCATAAACATTTAAATTATATATGAAAGAGAGGTTTAGGGTTTAGGGTTTAGGTTTAGGGGTGATTAGGGCTCGGTCGTTGCTCTTGAGCTCTTTGTCCGTTGCAAGCATACAAGTATTCACAACCTGCACGAATATGAATCGAGTCTTTGCCTTGGAGCCACAGTGGGTGACAAGGGGGTGACATTGTGTGGAACCGTGTCACAGCTGATGATGAGCCGCAATGCCTCCATAGTCGCGTTCGCCAGCACCGGCCGTCGCGCGGGAGGATGCAACAGGGGCTGTGTCCCGTTTCACGGCGAGTTGCTGTTGTGATCCAAGCCCAAAGATTTCTGAGCTTGGCAAGTCTGTTGTCTTTCAGCTTGGGTGTGTGAGAGGTGCCTGGAACACCCTGAGCCCTAAACCCTACACCCATTGATCAGAGTCTGAACTTTAAAGGGCCAAAGGTTGGAAGAAAAGGACTCCATTCATGTCCTGTGCCTTCGCTGCCTCAAGCCACCCGAATGACGTTGAAAGGCGCAAAGAGATACCTGACATCGTCTTTCAGATTCGAGCATGGCCACATATGCCCACGGATGCAAGCGGTATTGCCATGGCTTATTTTGCTCCTACCTCTGAGAGCGTATGTAAGATGAGGAAGTGGTCGGTGCATTGGGCGTCCGCTGTGGCAGAGCACTGGCTCGATTCTGGCTTCTTGCGCACATGAGTTCTTGCGAATGTGACTCGCATCGCATCATACGAATGCGCCTGAGTCTTGTTTGGGAGTCGCACCATTGTGGGTGTGAGAGCTGTGGGTCTTTGTGACGTTTATGGAAGCACGTGCTGTTCACGACACTATAAGTGGTGAGCCGGAAAATGCCGTGCCTGAGCTTTCAGTGTTCACTTCGGAATTTCTGAAACCTTGGTGCACGATGGCCTAAGCTACTACAGCATGCTGCTACCGACCTGTGCACCCACAACGTCTCATCCTAAACCCGAAACCCTAAACCCGTAGCCCTAAACCCGAAACCCGCAACCCTAAACCCTAAACCACCCTAACCCTAAACCCGAAAACCTAAACCCGAAACCCTAAACCCTCGAACCCCCCCCTCGAAAACTTCGACATGTCTGGGAGGCGGTCGCTTCGCGGCCCGGCGTGGCGCCGCTCCACAAGTTCGAGGGCCGAAGCGTTGAGGACCACGAGTTCCGGGTTTAGGATTTAGGGTTTAGGGTTTAGGGTTTAGGGTTTAGGGTTTAGGTCTTCGTGAGTCCTGAACCCTAAGTCTAAGTGCCCTAAGTCCCTCAAACCTGAAGCTTCATTGGAGTTTAAAACGTGGCGGGGAATCGGAGATCCGAGAGCCCGGGCAGGAGCTCGTGGCGGAGAAGAAGGCAGCCTTGAACAAGGAGGCGCGCTGAAGGTGGAGGGGGGCTTGTGGCTTGTCTAGTAGAGGAGCCTTAATACTTAGAATAGGGTTTTGGGGGGTTATTATGGTATATTTATATAGCGACCATCAGGCAATACTATTCGTAATTGTTTCGGGTGTTTTCATGAGGGCTAAAGCTTGTTGGGGGTTTAGGGTAGGCCTTGGTAGGGCATAGCATCAGCCAAGACCAGACCTGCGTTCCTGAGGCGGGGGTATGCATCGCTCACGGCAGTTGCCAACAGCATGAGTTCATTTCGGGCAATCTTTTGGTGCACAACTGGGCGTAAAAGGAAGATGTTAGCTGGAATAGGGACTACAAGGTAAGGCCTAAACAATCAGGAACTGCTCTGTCCTCATTGTTGGCGGCCTGCAGGGCTTAAGGCCACTCCTGAACCCTGTTGCGGTTTGATTTACAGGGTTCCTATAGAGCCTTCATCGGGCTTTTACAGGGCTTGCAGCGTTTATATGGGGTCTTTATATGGCTCGGGTTTATATAGAGCGTTTATGGGGCGTTTACAGGGCTTTATAGGGTGTCATCAGGTTTTAACGAAGTTTATAGAGGACTAGCAGGGGCCTTTCCATGCCCCTGAACCCCACAGCTGTCTGGGAGGTCACTGCCCGGGAGCAGGAATACAAGACGTGGCTGGCCCCTTGGCAGCCGCAGATTCGACCGTACAACCTTTCACAAAGAACCCTAAACCCTAAACCCTAAACCACCCCCCCCAGTCACGAAGTGCCGATGCAGCTCTGCCTTGAGGCCGATGTCTATTCGAAGATCTCTTGGGCCCCTTTACAACACCACACGTCCCCCAAAATTGGGAGCCCTAAGCCCTAAGCCCTAAACCCTAAACCCTAACCCCTAAGCCCTAAACCCTAAACCCTAAACCCTAACCCTAAACCCTAAACCCTAAACCCTAAACCCCAAACAGCCGGAAAAGTTCAACATCCAAGGAGTCCGTGAGCAAGCCGAAGTTCAAGCTGCCATCCCAAGCTGTCAACACGCCCGCGCCGGCAGCCCACGATGGGGGGGGGGCAAGGGGGGGGGGGGGTTTAGGGTTTAAGGTTTAGGGTTTAGGGTTTAGGGTTTAGGGTTTAGGGTTTAGAGTTTAGGTTTAAGGGGTTAAGGGGTTAAGGGGTTGAGGGGTTAGGGGGTTTGGGGTCTTGGGTTTTGGGTTTTGGGAAAGAGGGTTGGGGTTGAGGGTCTAGGGGTTGCTTGGGGGCATCTTGGGGGCTGTTCTGTGGGCATTTGGGGTATGAATATATACATATATAGTTGTTTTTTTTGTCTTAATTTCATTTTTTATACATATATAGTTTTTTTTTTTAATCTTAATTTCATTTTTTATACATATATAGTTGTTTGTTTTTTTTTGAGAGGTCGGGGGGGGGGTTAGTGAGTTGAGGGTTTGTTTAGTGTTTAGGCTTAAAGTGGTTTGGGGTTTCAGGGGTTCCAGGACAGGGTTGTAGGCTTAGGAGTTACTACTTGTGGACTTGACTAGCGGGTGGGGGGGGGGGGGTGGTGTCCTCAGCCAGGCATCTTATGTAGCCTGGAGTCTTTGCATTGGGGTTGGTAGATGTCCATGGCAGCCAGCCCGTCCTGAATTCTGTTCTGGGTGATCAACTTCTTTTCCCAAGCACACTCGAGGTATGCTTGGAGGTCGACGAAGGGTGTTGGCTTGAGAGCAGCATCTACAGGTGCTGTCAGCGAAGTTCCACGCTCAAACCGAAACCCTTACACCCTTCACCATAAGCCCTAAGCCCGAAACCTTGTTCTTGCCACAGCCATCCGAGTATCGGAGAACTGCTGCGTTGCGACTGCCGAGGCAGCGGCAGATGATCATCGCAGAAAGTGCCACTCAGCAGCAGAGAGCTGGGCCAAGATGCAGAAGAATATGAGCCTTGAACTGCTGCAAGCTCGTGAAGATTGTAGTAGATGCGAAACCCTAAACCTTCACTAAACCCTAAACCCTAAACCCTAAAGCCTAAAGCCTAAACCCTAAACCCTCTTGGGGCGGGGGCTTAGGGGCCGGGATTCAGGATTCAGTGTAGGGTCTGTGTCTGATGGTACTTCCGGCCCAAGGCCCTACGATCCCCCGCACTGATCCCTGAGCCCCAAGCTTGGGAGGGTTTCGGGTTTCTAGGGTTTAGGGTTTAGGGTATTAGGGTATTAGGGTATTGGGGTATTAGGGTTTAGGGTTTAGTTGTTCAGGGATGTGAGCTTGCTGGGTCGAACAACGTTGAGCTTGCGGCGCTGCTCCAGGCGAAACGTGGCTTGGAGAAGTTGAACACCACCACGGCGGAGTATCAGAAGTGGGTGAAGGAGGGGGAGGGGGCTTGTGTGGCTTGGGTTCTGCAATCTGGAATTCGGGCTCAGTTCGGCGGGCTGGTGGGCCAAACACCTAGCTTGAGAAACGCGTTCACTCCCGCGAAGATCGCTCGCCTAGCATCGGCTATGGCTTGCTGCTCTTCTTGAAGAAGTCCCCTGTCATTTGTCATGCAAATATACTCCCTATCCTAGTAGTCAGGCAGGTGTCTCAGTTCGCAAAGCCTCTGCGCTGGAGGACATGGAGCAGGAGAAGCATGAGGCGATGATGCAGAAGGCTGCAGGGCAGATGCAGACTGCGCTCGCGTGCAGATGCGTCGGACCCTGAAACCCTAAACCCTAAACCCTAAACCCTAAACCCTAAACCCTCAGTGCGAAGCGACTTCGGGGTTCAGTCTTCGTGCCCTTTCGGCCTTTCAGGTGAACGTTAGACCGAAACTTCCCCACGAGCCCTCAACCCTTAAGCCCTTCCTGCTCCCTGAACCCTGAACCCTAAACCCTAAACCCTAAACCCTAAACCCTAAACCCTAAACCCTAAACCCTAAACCCTAAACCCTAAACCCTAAACCCTAAACCCTAAACCCTAAACCCTAAACCCTAAACCCTAAACCCTAACCCTAAAGCCTGAAGCCTGAACCCTGAACCCTGAACCCTGAACCCCTAAACCCTAAACCCCAAACCCTCAACCCTAAACCCTGAACCCCTAGACCGTAAAATCCCTGCAAGCAGGTCAAGGACAAGCTGAAGGCGGACCGCGAGGACATGGAGCGCCGGGAGTTTGCCATGCACGCCCTCGAGGAGCTTGGGATTTGGGTTTTTAGGGTTTAGGGTTTAGAGTTTAGGGTTTAGGGTTTAGGGGTGTTGGGGGCCCCTAAGTGCTATTGGTAGTATGGGGGCCTTAATAAATCGAAAGGTTATTATAGTAGGTACAAAGGGGCCATCAGGGATGACTGCCAGTAATTCCTCCGACCCCTATTTCTACCCTTTGAACCGCAAAGGCTTCATGCACCAATGTACCCTAAAGCACCCTGAACCCCGAATGCTCAAGAACCTAATTCCGAAATCCTTAGGATACTCAGCTCCAAGCCCAACTCAGGGACTACACGGCCTGGTTAACGCACCCGCCCAAAGTGCCACAGCCCTCAAAGCTCGGACCTTTTTCTGTTCCCCGCAGCCTTGAACAAAGCACCCTAAACCCTAAACCCTAAACCCTGAACCCTAAACCCTAAACCCTAAACCCTAAACCCTAAACCCTAAACCCCCTAAACCCCCTAAACCCCCTAAACCCCCTAAACCCCCTAAACCCCCTAAACCCCCTAAACCCCCTAAACCCCCTAAACCCCCTAAACCCCCTAAACCCCCTAGCACCTTTCGATGAACATGTGATGGTCATCGGGGCCCATCTTTTTTGGGGCACACGAAGCCCCCTAGACCCCAAGCATCCCCTGAAATCCGTAAGCCCCAAAGCCGAAAGCCACTCAAACCCTGGTTTAGGGTTTAAGGTTCAGGGTTTAGGGTTCAGGGTTTAGGGTTTAGGGTTCAGGGTTTAGGGTTTAGGGCTTTGGGTTTAGGGTTTAGGGAGCAGGAAAAGATGGCTGAGAAGAAGGCGGAGGAGGAGTCTGATCGGCGACTGCTTGCATGGGGGGGCTGGGAGGGGAAGCTCTTCTGAGGGTTTGGGGCGCGGAGGAAGGGAGTTTGCGGGCCCTGGCGGTTTAGGGGTTTTCGACTCCAGGTGAATCCCAACCCCGAAACCCTCTACCCAAAACACCCTAAACCTACGCGTTTCTAATCGAAGAACTGGGTATCCCTGAACCCCCAAATACCCAAATACCTCCAAACTTAATCCTAGAGCCTCAAGACCCGAAATGCCTCAACACCCTAGATTCTACACCCTATAGACCCTAAATCTGAAACCCTACGAACCCTAGGCCCTGAGCGACTCCGGAGTGCTTCAGTTCCCAAGAACACTGCCGCAGAGGTTGGCTCAATCCAGTGAAGCAATTCCCGAGTATGGGGAAGCGTATTTTATAACACATATTTGTACCAACACACTGAGCCGTGAACCCTTAAAGCCCTGCTAGCTGCGTCATGTTTATCGAGTATCAGGGGGGCCCTAAGCCCTTCCAGTCCCCAGAATGCTGTGCCTTTGCTTGTCCTTGCTCGGCTTGGCGGCTGCCGTGCCCCGCGTGGCGGTGGTAGGCGCCATGTGGGCATAGCAGGAACCCCTCAAACAAAAGTCAGAACCGTGTGGAAGACAACCCCAAGACGTATGAAAAAATTGAGACCATTGTACTTAAGCCCTTCAAAGCCCCGAGTGATTCTCGAAGGATGGAGTAGCCTGCACGCTAAACCCTAAACCCTAAACCCTCCTACATTCCCTTCAGGCGCTGGCATCAACGGAGGCTCGGCAGTCCACTACCTCCGCGAGCTGCTGGGGAAGGGCATCGACATCACAGTGTACGAGGCCAGGTTGAGGGAGGTTCGGGTGCTTAGGGCATTGGGGGTTTCGGGGTTTAGGGTTTGGGGTTTCGGGTTTAGGGTGCGCAGTCACAGTGTAGTCAGACACCTTGGAAGCCTGCTGGAGTTCACCTTGGGGCAGCTTAAAGGCAGGGGGCCCATGGATGTGGCAGGCCAACAGCGAGCCGGGCGGTCGAACGTTGACAAGGACTCCAAGTGTCCAGGGTTTTAGGGTTTAGGGTTTGGAGTTGCAAAAGGGTTTAGGGTTAAGGGTTTAGGGTTTAGTTTGAGAGGGAGGGGGGGGGGCTTGCAGGAATGTGTTCCATCTCTGCTTTGGGGGTGAAGATGGTCAAGAGCATTGGGCTTCGACCCCGGCTTTCTTGCACGAGTACCCCATACCTGCATCCGCTACCTAAATCCTAAACCTGCTGAGAGAGGGACCCTGCCGTTTCGGGTTTAGGGGGTTGGGTTTAGAGTTACTATAAACAACTAAAAACCTAAGCCTGGTGAGCCCTGTATGAACAAGAAAGAGGAGCTTTGCCAATGTCACCGTGGACGTGGGGGGCACGGCGATCTATTCCAGGAACAGATATGTCTCAGGTTGCTTGGAGGCATTGCGGTTTAGTGCTTAGGGTTTTTTGGGTTGAGGGCTTGCAGTCTTATAGTATGGGGCTTGGGCTCAAAACCCCAAGGCCCAAAGCCTAAATATCGCTGGGTTTCACTTCGCCGCAACCGCGACTGCTGGCAATTCCCTTTTGTTGCTAAGGCCGCCCCCCAACCCGAAACCCCAAAACCCATCCTTGCCCGGTGCCCTGACACACTAACAGCCTGAAATTGCCTGAAGCCCAGAACCCAAACGTCCTGGACTCCTGGACCCTTCTCACCCTCACACCCTAACACCCTGAACAAGTTTGAAACCCCAAGCCCTGCGCCCTAAACCCTAAACCTAAACAACATGTTGTTGATTACCCGAAGCCATGCCGCCCTAAACCCAAAGCCCTAAACCCTAAACCCCCGCTCTCATCTCCGAGGTTTCGCCAAGTCTTTCGGGCTGTCGCCCCAGACAGGGGACGAGGCTTGGCTTAGGGTGTTAGGGTTGTTACGGTGGTGTTAGGGGAGGGTGTCAGGCGTGAGGGTAAAGTGTCAGGAGTTTATTCGGGGCGTGAGGGTAAAGTGTCCTGAGGTGTCAGGAGTTTATTCGGGATACTCGAGGAACCCCCTGTATCATAGCCAGTCAGTGGAATACAGCTTCAGGAGCACCCCAAGAGCCTCATAAAGCTCTCCAAGACCGCCCCAAGTGCGCAAACGTGAGGGTCCACCTCCCCCTCCCCACAGATACTGCACGCAATTAAGGGCTGGGGCAGTTCTTCTCATCCGACCTGTATGCCCCAACTTCCGAGAGCTTCCCCTGCTCGTCGACAGCCGAGGATGGTGTGAACTCGGACATTGGCATCTGGGATGGCCAGAAGTTTCGCATCCAGGCCGGGTTTTCGGGTTTAGGATTGTCTGTTTCCCTGGTTTCAGAATCTGGCTCTGAAAACCCTGTCCTCGAAACAGAGAGTGCGTGAGTGAAAGGCCCTTCCTGCACGTGTCAAACCTATCTAAAGCTGCAAACTCTATACATCTCAGCATTGACCTCTCCAAACCTGTAAACTCTACAAATCTCGACCGCCGACCCTAAACCCTAAACCCTAAACCCTAAACCCTAAACCCTAAACCGCCCTATGAGCTGCCAGTCGTAGGTTGATACCGACAGCAGCCTCGGCCTGGGCGCGAAACTTCTCTTCCGCACCTGGCCGTCATCTGGGTTGTCTGCCGTTTAGAGTTGGGGGTTTTCGAAAATAAGGGACCCCCAATATAGACCCCAAATAGTAGGAGTCCCTTTTCATAAGGACCCCAGAAAGGTACCCCCTAATTTCGGAAACCCCCAGTTGGGTCCGAAACTGTAGGCACCTGAGTGCCGTCTGACATGTCCGACCCACGGAATGTAAAGCTGCAGGATACGGGCTGTCTCCTCTTCACGTGCTTCCCGCGGTCCGCAGCGCTGTGGACGGCTTCGACCGGATCTATGACCTTCAGGAGCGGCAGCAGAGCTTTGAGAGCCCGGCAGAGCTTTTAGATGCCCTGGGCGTTTTCAACCTGACCCAAACGTCCGCCTACGACTACTTTGCAGGCCGTGGCGGCTTGGCCTCTTTAGAAGGGAGCGCTCAGTGCTTCTTAGTAGTAGAGTAGGTAACCTTTAACCTTTTTGGGGTGTTATGTTCCCTACATAGTCCCAAAGGTTAACCTTGAGTTCCCCGAGGATGCTGCACAACTAAGGCCTCTGTATCCCTGTAGGAGATGTCTTGAGCATGGCCCAGGTGTGGACGCCAAGTTTGTGCGGGAGATGGTGGATGGAGCCTCCCGGTGCAACTACAACCAGCCAGGTGCCTTCCCTGATAACGATGCAACAAGAGGGGCAGCAGTAATAGCAAGAACCTGAGTACTACGACTATATGATTATTGATGATGATGATGACGACGACGAGGAGCAGTAGCTACTCAGTAGCTATCATAGTCGTAATCGTCTTACAATAGGCATAATCGTCAATATGGAGAAGAATATACCTGACATGGCTGTCGATGTGTTGCGGAGCGATTGTGTTGGCACTACTCGCTCTTGCTCTTGGTTTGGGGTGTCAACCCCGATCAGGCACGATGAACAGCTTCGCAGACCTGATCTCGCTGGCTGGCGTGGGTGTGGGCGGCCACGTCTTCGGCTTGGCCAACGGTACTCAGGCTTTGCCTGGGGCGCAACCCAGGGTGTAGAGGGGCTTAGGGGCTTACAGCGCTGAGGATGTTGGCTTCCTGAGAGGATTTAGGTGCTTGAAAGCTTTGTAGGGCGAAAATCTAGTGTTGCAGTATAAAGGAGTATAAACGGATCAGGGATTACCGTAAGAACCCCGCAATCGACCCGAATGCAAAGAGAGCAGGTGAGAGAGCTCAGGACGGAAGGGCGTCCACCCTCAACCCTAATTCCCCAACAACCCCCTTGCTTTTTGACCCTAAGCCCTGAACCGCTATGAGGCCCTAAAGCCTCATCCCTAGACCCTCTACCGAACCTGACCTCCGGCAGGCCATCTCGCGCGGGCTTCTAAGATCTGCGTCCCGGGTGCGGCTCGGGGAGAGGGTGACGCAAGTCGCCTCCAATGGAACAGGCCGCCAAGCTTCCATGAAGGGCTTTTGTCGGTTTTTCGGGCTTGCAGAGTTTTAGGGTTGTTTGGATCGACTTATGCCCTTTTAGGGGCTTCAATTGGGGTATAGGGGGGTTTGCAGAAGCCGCAGGCTACACGGTTCAGACCGTGAAGCGATCCGAGCAGTTTGACGGCGTCATCCTCGCCACGCCCATGGAGCTGACCGCCATCCAGCTGCCGGCGGAGGCCCTGGCAGCCCAGTGGTGCCCTTTTTTTTGTCTCCTTTTCTTTGGGTTCAGGGTGCCCTTGTAAAGTTACCAACCCAATAAGGGTAACCTTATTAGAATATGCTTTGCCCCTTTTTTTTTTGTTCAAGGTACCCTACTTGTAAAGTCACCAACCCCCAAAAGGGGCAGCCTTACATATTGTGTAATATGGCACTACTGGGCTACCGCGAGGCCAAGCGCGGCACGGGCAGAGGGAGGAAGCACCACGGCAAGCACTCGGGGGCTTGGGGTTTAGGGTTTAGGGTTTGGGGTTTGGGGTTTTAAGTTTAGGTGCATTGAAGTGTAAGCATCATCTGCAGCACCGACGGGAGCCGAGTTCAATCACGGCCTGAAGAAACCGGCGTAGACCGGCGTTGAAACAGACAGCCTTGTAGGGGCTGTACGGGTATTTCCCCAAGAGGGGTACCTTTAATGTACCCCCGAAAGTAGCATGATCCTGATTATCGGAAGCCCCCAACAGGGTACCCCTATTTTCGGAAACCCCCATATGCGGTTCTGGGCAACTGAGTGTCGGGTTTGTCAGTGCACCGGTGGCCCCCTGTGCAGCCCTGGTCAAGTGCATAACACCATCGGGGTGCTTTTGGGGTTTAGGATTTAGGGTTGGGGTTAAGGGTTTAGGGTTTAGGATGGTTTAGGGTTTAGGGTATAAGGATTCTTCACTGCAGGCCACTGTAGGGCCTGGGTTGAAGTTCAGGGTCAGGGTTTGGGGACCTGGCAAAGGTATCAGACCACATACGTGACCTTCATCCACGGGCAGCTGAATCAGACCTATTTTGGAGCTCGAGCGGGCGCCAACGCCAAGCCGATCCCGGGAACGATCCTCACAACGGAGGACTCTTCGTCTCCGTTCTCGTCCTTTGGAGCGCGGGGCTGAGGGATTCGGATTTAGTAAAATTTAGGGGCTTGCAGGGCTCGAACGAAGGAGGCTGTGAAAAGTACCTACGCTGGGGTTTCAAGTTTAAAGTCAACACCTACTTGGGGGGGGCCCGGCCCAACTCGCCATGGTTTTGAGCCCTGAGCTGCCATTCCGAGGTTCACAAGGTGCTTCCTGATGGCTCCATGGTTGCGGGGGCCTCCAGCACACGGCACATTGCACTTGCATGGAATCGCAGTGAGTGCACCGAGATGCGTGCCCCAACGTGAAGGTAAAGCTGTTTTCACGGCGGCACTTGAACGACGCGGACATCCAGCCACTGTTTCCGAGAGTGCCGCGCCTAACCCATCACTGAGCATGGCTTGGAGACATCATTTCAACTTGGAGAGCAACACTCTGAAACTATATTGTTTGTCATGCAGATCGCTTCTGAAGGGGAAGGAGGTGGAGGTGCAGGGATTGATAGAAGTCCCACGCCTTCGTTGACGAACCCTTGCCGAAGTCTTCCCTCTGACACCATTGCAAACTTTGCATGCTAGGTGCTGCTTTGCTTGAGCAACCCTCTTATTCACAGTCGATGCCAGAGTTTGGCATCATAGCCCTAGAAATCCACGGGCTGGTAGCACACCAGCTGACCTCGGAGAGCTCACTTCGGTGCGACCCTTGCAGGGTACGCTCGCACAGGAAGACGGGAAGAGAGCGTGCAGTAAGACGTGTTCGAGGGGAAGGTGGGGACGGCGCCAGAGCGTGGCCCACAGAGGGCCAGCGGCCAACTGCCAACCACAGGGGAGCGGAAGAAGGCGAGCAGGAGGAGGAGGAGGAGGAAGGAGAGGAGGAGGAGGAGGAGGAGGAAGGAGGAGGAAGGAGGAGGAAGGAGCTCCGCAGCCAGAGTTCGCTGAACTCCACACAGGATGGTCGTCCTGAGGGGTTTGCAGTACATGCAAGGGTTGATCGGGCAAAATCAGGTTGTCGGGAGGGGATCTGACCCCAAGTCGGGGGTCACAACGCGCAGATGCAGTGCAAGAGAGGGGGGGAGATGGATAGGTCGCGCTACCCTGCGGACCACCCATGTGAAGGGCGCACGACTGCGCAGGGAGATTGGGTCCTGCCTTGAGCCCGGATCCCCTTACCTTATTAAGAAAGGAGAAGAAGAAGAATGAGAAGAATGAGAAGAAGAAGAAGAAGAAGAAGAAGAAGAAGAAGAAGAAGAAGAAGAAGAAGAAGAAGAAGAGGCGAAGAATAACAATAATAAGAATAAGAAGAACGAGAAAAAAGGAAGAAGGGGCGAGAGACGACACGATGAGGAAAGACACGAAAGATTGCGCACATTGATTTTCCGCCTCGAGGGCCTGGATGCATATTGAAAGGTCTCCAGCGCATGATCAGACGCAGGGCCCACGTCAACTTAAGGTCTTCCACATGTTCAAGTACGTTTGGTCGGCCTACCCCAAGCTCCAGCCACTGGCCCGCGCGGACTGGGCTAGCTTCAGGCCCCGCAAGCTGTCGTTCGAGTTTTCATATCACGCTCTCTCTGTCTCAGTCTCTTGGTCTCACTGTCTCACTAGCTCTCTCCCAATCTCTCTCACACTCTCCCACTCTCTCCCACCCTCCCCTCTCCCTCTCCCTCTCCCTCTGCCTCTCCCTCTCCCTCTCCCTCTCCCTCTCGCTCTTGCTTCCCTTGCAGGGAAGCCAACAAAGATGTTCACATACAATCTTAGGAATCTCGAGTTTGAGGGGTTTGCGGGGCCTAGGGCTGGCAATTCGCAATGCGAACGTGGGAGCGCTGCGCCGTGGGCACCTCTATCTTCACAGCGCCCTAAACCCGAAAAAGGTCTAAGCTCAATGGCAACATGGCCATTGTCGCGGTGGCGCAAGATCTGAGATGGGGTTTTGAAAATTGACCCTACACGCCCTAAACCCTAAACCCGAAACCCGAAGCCCTAAACCCTAAACCCTAAACCCTCTGGGGCAACAGGGTACAGCATCTGTGCCCAAGCACATCACTCCGACGGGGCGAGCCGCGCTCGCAGGCTGGATGGCCGAGCATTGTTCTACACCTCCGGCCTCGAGACAGGGGCGTCAGCCATGGAGGCCCGGGCACCTAACAGGGTTTGAGCATTTCTGACTTAGGGTTTAGGGGTTTAGGGTTTTAGGGTTTGGGGGCTTAGGGGTTTAGGGTTTTCAGGGTCTAAGGGCTGAGTAACGGGCAGAGGCCATGGTTTCGGGATGGGTGTATATCTATCTATGGATTCATGGGGGTCAAGGTTCTAATGTATTGCCTATGGTATGTGCAGGCCTGTGGACTTGCACCCCCCCCAAGCCCTGGCCAACGGACCCCAAGTCACATCTTTGAGCTCTTGCCTGCCGCCTTTAAGCCCCTAAATCTCAACCCCCAAAGCGACGAACATCAAAGCCGACCTAAACATGCGGACGAAACAGTTGCGAGCTGTTCATGTTCTGAAATCATTGTTCTATAAGCCCCATAGAGCCTGTAAATCATATAAGCTCTATAAACTCTCTATATATGTATAAATAAATAAATATGTATATGTATATATGTATTTATATACATATATAGAGAGAGAGATTATATACATATATATATACACACATACACACACACATTATTGCATATTCTTTTGGAGAATCCTTAAAGACCTCCCCGAGGTCGCTGCCATCGCCGGTCGCAATGGCGCCCTGCTGATGCGGGAGGCCTTGGCGAAAACTTCCCAGGCCCAGGGGTTAAGGGGTTAAGGGGTTTAGGGTTTGGGGTTGAGGGTTTGGGGCTTGGGGCTTGGAATTTAGGGTTTAGGGGTTGGAGTTTAGGGTTTAGGGTTGGGGAACAAGTCGTAGGTCCGAATTAATTCCTACATTCCGTACATAACGTAGCTTCTACACAGGGTCATGCGCTGGGACCCTCGCCCTGACATTGTCTGAAAAATCGCTGCCGCAGTATGTTAAAATACAAGATCTCCACAGTGCAGTGGCAAAAGTTGCTCCTGAGAGCTGGCTCGTGCAGATCTCTGGTTGCGAGGTGCCGCGAGCAGGCAGAGACCCTGCAAGCATGTTCGTTTGAGAGGCCAAAAAAGAGCGCTCCTGTCTGCTTTTGCGTGAGCACGTCGACCTGCAGCTGCGTCCCCGCTAAAGGGTTCAATAAGTGTAAGATTTAGGGTTTCGGGTTTAGGGACCCCAAACCCTAGGGTAGGGTTTCCCATCGTCTAGGACCGAAAAGCCAAAGAGTCGAAGGAGGAGGTCCTCCGAATGTATCACAAGGCACCGGGACAAGGGCGCCATCTGTTGTGGAATCAACCTGGGCCTTTCCCCAAAATAGGGCCTTACTTAAGATTCCCGGTATCACCGCATACTCGAATCCTTATCACATATAGGAACCGCCAATCAAGGGTGCCCGTATCTTTGGGAAACCCTCACAGGGGTTGAAGTGCCGATGCCCTCTACCCTAAACCCTCCCAACCCTCGACCCGAAGAATCCTAAGAATCCGAAGAGCCCGAAGAACCCTAAGAGCCCCAAGAACCTTAAGAATCCTAAGAACCCTACCCTAAACGCCAAACCCCAAGAACCGCAAGAACCCTAGGAATCCTAGGAGTCCTAGGAATCCTAGGAATCCTAAGAATATTAAGAACCCTGACACCCTTCACAGTGCTCGCAGCCATGCCCTGCAAGGTGCATTCGAAGCCCCTCCTCATTGAACAAGCCTACGACTACGGCCGGGTCTTCAAGTGCCCTGGCTTGCCCGCAATGGGGTTGAAGGGGTTCAGGGTTTGGGGTTTAGGGTGCGCTTGCTGCGTCTCGGCAAAGGCAGGCGAGTCATCTGGGACCTGTCCACTGACACCGTGAGACCGGGGAAGCTCTAGAACTCCTACCACAGCGTTTCGCAGCCTGGCTTTCCTGCGCGGCGGTTTGACCTGCAAGGGCCCCCCATGCAACAGATTGACTATGACTGGCTATAATAGTAGCTACTCTTGGATCAGCAAGAAGGAGCTACCAGACTGCTTGAAGGCAAGCTGGCTACAGATCGGCGACTGTCAAATGCCTCTCGTTTCTATATCGCCGGCCATGTATACTAGGCTCGATTCTGACGAGCTGGGTGTGCCAAACAGTTTAGGGTTTAGGGTTTCGGGTTTAGAGAACTTGTTCTCAGAATGGTGCCCTGCAGACTCCCTAGAATTCCCTAAAACACTGGCCCGTGCGGGAGCTCGTCGTCACGTCGACCGGCTTTCTGCCCGCGAAGCGGGAGCAAGACCTGTCCGCACGCCTAAGGTGTGAAAACGGCTTCGGTGTTTTTACAGTAGGGCTCCTGTTCATTTGGTGTGTGTTACGGCTGCCGAGTCCCTTGTCGCCTTAAGAATGCGGCAAGATGGATGCCGCAGACAGTGTCTCAGCCGCTTGAATTTGGCGATGTCCTTGGTGGCTCGACCGGGTCGGTGGACTATCACGTGCACCGGCACCTGGCACACATCTGTACACGCCTGGCCCGGACATGCGTTGTTGCTTTGGGCATGGCTTTCACGAAGGAGGGCGTCTTGCGGCTTCAGGTTTGGCTCAGTGAAGTGTAGAGCTGGGCCAGCTCCCGACGAACTGCGCTGGGCCGGCCGCCATGTCGCAGCCCGAGCTTTGCATAAGCTTTCATTTCAGGTTTTCTGAGATTTTCAAGGGTTCCTCCTCTGAGCTTTCGATCTAAGGTCCAGCAAGTTCGCGAAGCAGTACCAGGACGGGGACCCAGAGGGAGTTTGCAAGCATTGCAACTGATTGCACCGAGTGCCATGTGAGATGCGCAAAATCCTGATGAGGTTCCACCGGAGTTCCCTGACATTCTAAAGGACAAGGGTATGGGAGAAAGAGTCCACAAACGACGGGATGGGCACCACCAGCTCGATGGAGCTCGGAACCCAGCCCGCTGCTTCAGGACTTCACGCGGGAAGTCCTACGATCTCAGCCGGAGAACATCCATGAGTTTGCTGCCAAGTGCCCCTCCCGCAACCGCGGCGACTGGCAAGCTGAAGGCAATGTGCAGCTGCCCCCATGAGGTACTTCGAGTGCCTGGCCAGCGGCCTGCCCGCTGATGCTGGGCAGGCGAAGCGCCCGAAACCCCAAACCCTGCACCCTAAGCTTCCTATAAGCCCCCATCTACCTTAATCCTTTCACGCAACATGCGCAACGGGGGTTGTTCGAAGCTAGGGCCCCTTAAAGGTGCCTCTTGGCAGCACTTTGGGATATTGACGGGGTGTAGTGGGCTTAGACGTTTTGGGTTAAGTGGCTTGTGGCCCCCGGACCTAAGGCAGCTGCGGCAGAAGATCTGGATATGCCAGGGCCATAGCCAGAAGCTGACATCCCAAAACCTACGCCAAAACCCTCCCATGTTCATGCCGAAGAGGTTTACAGGTGCCTGGACAGTACTTAGGGTTTATCAGGTTTACGCCGAGTCACGGAATCAGACATGACGGCCTTCGAGGGTACTCGGGCCTGGCATGTGGTGGGACACCCGAACCTGGCACCCTAAGCCGTAAACCCTAAGCGCTAAACCTTAAGCCCTAAACCCTAAAGCCAGTTGCAAGTTAAACGCTCAAACCGGATACGGTGTCAGCGCACCACCACGGTGGGAGAACAAAAAGCCGGGTGACGATGTTCCTGAACAATTGCGAAGCTGACGAAAAGCTGACCGAAACCTTACTAACTCCCCCCCCCCTTCCCCACAATGAGGTGTTTTGCCCTTGGGTTGCACGTAGATGACCTAGATGTGAACATGCTGTTGGGCTGCTTGCTTCTCTACAGGAGACAGGAGCGAATAACAACGATATATTATGGCTTGACATTTGTTCCATGTGGCATCAAGCTTGTGTTGGAAACCAAAAACCCTAAATGCCCATAATAGGGGTACCCTTTCTCAAAATGGGGTTGGGGTCCATTTCGGGAAATCCCTCTCTCCCTCCTCCCAAAAAAGCCAACATGATCCGATCCCATTGTGCGAGTATAGGCCCCAAACCCCAAAACCCGAAACCCCAAACTCAAACCCTTCAATTTCAACAGCGGCTTTTGCGTATGGAGCAAAACCCCGAAGGCAACCCGCCAGGAAGCTTGCAGATGCATGTAAGCTACTCCCAGCAGGGACCCGTTTTTTTCGTTTTTCTTTTCAGGGGGCTTGGGGTTCAGGGTTCAGGGCCTCCCTATACTAGCAGGGATCATAGTACACCCCATTATAATCCCTGTAAAGGACTGTTCGTACAAGGGGGAGCATCCCAGTTTAAAGTCCCGCAGCCAAGGTCCCTAGATGAGGTCGAGGGCATCATCCACGACCTCTTCAAGAAGTATGACAAGGCTTGGGGAGTCGGAGGATGCCATGACGGTGTCTCTAAACCCTAAACCTTAAACCCTCAACCCTAAACCCTAAGCCTTATAAACCCTCAACCCTAAACCTTATAAACCCTAAACACCCTACACCCTACACCCTAAACCCTAAACCCTAAACCCTAAACCCTAAACCCTAAACCCTAAAGCCTAAACCCTAAACCCTAAACCCTAAACCCTAAACCCTAAACCCTAAACCCTAAACCCTAAACCCTAAACCCTAAACCCTAAACCCTAACCGTGGGCACTCCCAAGCCTTTCTGGACCCCTGAACCCCCACAATCACGAAACTTACTGGTTCCCAGTAGGGAATGAGGGACCACACATGGGGGGTTTGCGATAATAAGGGACCCTAATATAGACTCCCAGGATCCCTTACAACGGACTCCAACAAGGTACCCCCTTTTTTCGTAAACCCCCATGTTTCCCCGAAATGGTCGCTTCTGTAAAATGTGTCTAGCTCCCTCATTCCCTACTGAGGCCCAGGAGGTAAACCCCCTTAACGCTCACTTTGGAGCGCCCTCAAGCCCTAAGGCCCTAAACCCTAAGCCCCCTAAACCCTAAGCCCTAAGCCCTAAACCCTAAACTCTAAACCCTAAACCCTAAACCCTATGCGGTCTATGTTGCAGGATGGAAGCCAGTTCCTGGACCCACCAGAGTTCAAGTCTCTGATGGAGGACTTGCAGCCAACGCCCAAGCGGGGTTTCGGGGGTTTAGGGTGTAGGGTGTAGGGTTTAGGGTTTAGGGTTTAGGGTTATAGGGTTATGGGGTTTAGGGTTTGGGGTTTAAGGTTTTGCCTTGTCACGGGGGAGGAGAGGGGGAACCCTGACAACCGGGACGTGCAGCTTCATAGGATTGAGCATCGACCCCCGCAACCTGAGACCCCAAACCATACCCAACAATGGGGGTTCAGGATGGAAGCCCTAAACCCTGAACCCTAAACCCTAAACCCTAAACCCTCAACCTCAACCCGGGTTGGCATGCTTCAATCCGTCTTCGCAAGGCAGAGGCTGGACTTTCCCAAGGACGAGATCCTGCTCTTCTTGGCGGAGGCCTCTCGGCCTCGGGGGGTGGATACTGGGATGTTCATGGGTACTTAGGATTTAGGGTTGAGGGTTTAGGGATTGGGGATTGTGGGTTTAGACTTAGGGTGCTTATGACCCCCCAATGACGTGTGTACTTCTGAGCCCCCTAAGTTAAGTCCTCCAAGTAGGTTAGAAGCAGACGCATAATTAGGGTTATAGGTACCAGGTACCCATGAACCTCCAAGCAGGGGAAGCTCTCTAAACTCGGGTCTAGTACGCGTACCCTAATGTAGAGAACTACTGTATCCTTTGGGGGAAGCCAGAGGTGAAGTTTCATAGGGCAAACAGGGCTTATCGTCAGATGCAGAAAGATACTGGGTTCTTGTAAGGGTTAGCATGAGATACTTAAAGCTTGACTGGGGTTCTGGACCCAATGCTCCCCAAACCCTGCACCTTAACACGCACTTGCCCAATGAAAGACATGAGGCCAGTAGTGTTCAGTGTCCTTGCAGGCTGACATGAACGCGGACGGTATGATCGAGTATGAGGACCCCTCAAGCACGAGCCCGGGATAAAGAATGCATCTGGTGTGCTCGTGGAAGCTCCGTGTCTCGGAAGTCATGGGGCTCAGGAGAGTATCTAAGGCCTCAGGGTTGTGAGGGGGTTGCAGGGAATGCTTCTTGGCCACAGGAGTTCATCCCGCTGGCTTTGCAGATCATCCAGGGCATGCGACCCGCCAACATGACATGCGGTCTCTACTCACCAACCCTTGGATCCGGGAGTTTTGGTTCCTGGGCCAATAGGACTTGGGGGGGGGGGACCCATGGCCTGATATGATCCAGAGAGACCTAAGGTCACGCGAGACGGGCCCCCCCCCCCCCACATTTCGTTCGAGTTACAAGAGGCCTTGTTCCCTTCCCCTGACGTTGTCTCAGCCCCACCCCAAGATTTGCAGCTCATTGCGACATACTGTGCCTGGATGTCTGCAAGAAATGTAAGCTCAACGCGCAGACAAATTCTACAGCTTTGCGACTCCCCCCCCAAGTTCGAATCCTTTGCTGCCGCAACTGCACCGAAAAAAGAAACAAGTGCCGATAGAACGCTAACCCTTGGGCTCGTGGGCCGTATAGCGCTCAGGGCTCAACTTGCGCCCTGCATCACAAGCTGCGGCCTTCGTCAGGTACGCCAAGAAGCGACTGGAGCAGCACATCGCCCGGTTCTCAGGGATCTTGCGACGGGCCCAGGTGTTTAGGACTGAAGATGAGGGCCTAGAGGGCTTCGTATGCAGGACCAGAATTAGAAGGCCTAAGCCCAAACAAGCGCTAGGGCTGAGGCCTATCGGGAGCTTGGGGAAACAAGCCCTCAAACCCTGGATTCTCAGCCAACGATTGTTCTCAAGGAATGCTTGTTCCAGACAAGTTTCGCTTATTTGCACCCAGAAGCAAAGGCAGGTTTCTTTTCGCAGTGCCGTGTTTCATTCCCATTCAGACGAAAAAGCCCTGTGTAGGACCTAGGACGCTCTCAAGACACAAACCCCCCTGAGGGAGGAGATGTTACCCCTAGAGACCCTACATCCTAAACCCTAAACCCATCTCAACCAGCGCTGCCCAGTCTGATGTGGACCTCCAAGCGGAGGAGCTTTTGGTCCACGGCATGTCCCGCGAGGCACGACTGCAGGGGCGAGGGTGGAGGGGTGGGATTTTTTCTGGTGTGTTTGGTTAATCTCTGCAAACATATAATATATGTTAATGTTATCCGAATATTTATTACTATTCTTATGATTATCAGTACTTTTTCATAGTATATATATATATATATAATATATATATATATCATATATATATATGTATATATGATATATATTATATTATATTATATTATATTATATTATATTAAATTATATTATGTTATATTATATTATATTATATTATATTATATTATATTATATTATATTATATTATATTATATTATATTATATTATATTATATTATATTATATTATATTATATGTATGGATAGATAGAATATATGCAAATTATACTGTATACTCCTGTTTCGGGAGGTTGCGATTGTTCGTATTCTCATCTTGCATTTCGACTGTTGGTGCTGTTCCCCGAGCAGTGTGGCAACGCCATCGGCTGCCAACGTTGGGCATTAGGAGGTTCCGGTTGAGGTGCCGCCGCGGTGCGTGCACGTGTGCGCATGCGCGCGGCCGGGCTTGCGGCGTGTGGCTCTCGCCGGGCATTGGAGGTCGCATTGACGCCAAGGTTTCGGTATCGCACAACGTGGTGCAAAGCGCGCTTCCGCCTCGCGCCGTGCGCGTTTTGAGGCTCTCAATGCTGCGTGTCGCGAAGAACGTGACCGGGGTCCGCATCCGCTCGAACACGATGTGCATCTTGAAGAATTGAGCAGGGGTTGCTTGGGGTTCAAGGTTTCAAGTTCATTCTGAGGCCTAAACTTCCTGAAAACCCAACCTTTGCCAGCCAGGAGCTCACCTCGCTGGTCGGAAGCATGTTCGAGCGCATGGATGAGGCCGCGCTGGCCGGTTTGCGCGCACCCGCCAGGCTAGATGACCAGGCTGTAAGGTTGAGGGCTTACCGGATTTTCAAAAGCACCTTCAATTCCAGGTTAGCTTGTGTACTTACAAGTATTATCACCCCTAAGGCCTAAGAACTAGAAACTCTCGATCATCCCAACAAGGAGCCTCGATCGAAACAGTCGGAACCAAGAACCCTTGTGAAGTCGGATGGCAGGACCGCAGTGGACAGCTGAACAAGCAGGCCATCTTGGCTCGGTTGAGGGGCTTTACGAGTTCAGGGTCTAGGCCTTCCGCTCCTCTTGTACTTGTTGGGCTGCGGGTTTTGATGTGGGGGAGGGAGGTCTGTAGATACCAGAACACAAGGGTTTCTCAAAAGTTTCTGACTCTCCCTGTCTTGCTCTCGTCCCTTCCCGGGCCCGACACGCCAAACCCCAAACCCTAAACCCTAAACCCTGCCCGTTCCTGTCCTGCGGGGTGCGTTGGGGCTCAAGGACGCCCAGTCTTCCCCCCCCATTTTCGGCCCAATCGGAAGCCTGAACGCCTCAACCCTAAACCCTTTTCAGGCTGCTTCAGGGTGTAGGGTTTGGGCTGTAGGGTTTTGGGTTTAGGCTGTAGGGTTCAGGGTTTTGGGTTCTGGCCGAAGATCCTTTCCTGAACCTGTTTGACGTCCCTGCCAACCACTACAAAACCTTCCACCCCCAGGAGTTCGTCGCGGCTCTGACTTCCATGGAGCTTGGGTGCTGGCCTAAGATCCTTTCTCGTTGGGGCCGAATTGCTTGTAGGATCCTACAAGGATCTGGGCTTCGGGCACCGTTGCTGCGAGAAAGCCATGGCTTTTTTGTCAGCATCGTTGGCCCCTCTATTTTAGATTCGAGCGCGTTCCGTCGTTCGGTGGCGCCACACTAGTTTCACTAACAACAGTCCGATTTCGAAATGATAAAGAATCGTCAAAACACTATCCAAGAGCAAGACCAGTGCTGCTAGCCTTGATAGCTCACGAAGAACGTTCATAGTAGCCATCATCGCAAGAATAGCTAACCTTCATCAAGCATGCTGAAAGAGCTCCTGGGCCGCTCCCTTGGCAAGTTGCTTGGGGCCTTGTTCGTAAGGAGAACTTCTGAAAACAAATGAATGTTGATAGGATTCTCAGGTCTTGAAGCTTGAGGGCCTAAGGGCTCCAGGCCTTCTGATTCCTCAAGCTTTTCCTGTTTGGCCTTTCCGGGATCCTTGGCCTACGAAAGTTGCGGCCCGTTAGGGTTTGTGGTCTGCTCTGATTTCTGAATTCTACATTGTGGTCACTTTTGGGGGTTGTCCTTGTAGCAGATCATCTTATAGTTCACCCCTAACTTAGAGCAGCCCCCACTCCACACCTCGCCCCCGTAGTATTGTGGCCTCAAGCCCTAATGAATCAAAGGCGCTGGGGCGTCCAAGCTATGACTGCTGATCTGAGACGTCGCAGGCTGACGCGACGAGAGATCAACGCCATCATGTTCCAGGTGGATCAGGCAGGGCCTTTTGAAGGGTTTTGGGTTAATTTGTAAGTTCCTTTTTTGGCCTCTATCCCTTACTTGCTGAGGGTGCCAAGAAGAGCGGCCCATGATTTCCAGCTGCTCTCCTCACCTGGGATTCCTGTTCCCCCAATCCGCAGAGCACCCGCGGAGTATCCCTTGAATACCAACTTGCAGAGGATCCCGCAGAGGAGTCCCTGGAATGCCCAATCCAGTCATATTATACGCAGTGGTTTAGGGTTTAGGGTTTAGGGATTAGGGTTGGCTATATTGGGGGAACCTTCTAATTCTAGAGGTACGACCTTAGGGGGTGCAACCCTGGAACCCTTGAGGATCAGGATGGCAATGTCTCCTACCGAGAATTTGTGCCGTTTGCCTTCGACCTGCTCCAGAAGATGGCATCGCCGACACCTCAGCCCAGCTCGTGGTTGAGGGCTTCGGCTTTAGGGATGGGAGTTAGTTTAGGGGCTTTAAGGGGGTTTAGGGGGGTTTAGGGGATTTAAGGGGGTTTAAGCGGGTTTCGGGCGAAAGCCCCAACTACAGTACACCCCTTGCAAACCGTACAGTGGCCCTCCAGTCCAGACCCCAAGCACTAAACCAAACCACTAAACCCCAAGCCTCCCAAACTCCTAAACCCCCAAGACCCCCCGCCCACCCCCCAACACCCTGCAAACACCCCAAACCTCCCTCCCTAAACCCTTACTACCCGCCCAAAAACGGCCTCAAAGAAGCTCAAGTTGAACTAGGCTCCGACTACTGGAGTCCGAGCTCGAGAACGACGAGCTGGCCCAGTACATCCTGGACCTCTTCAAAGCCAAGGCGCACAAAAAAAAACACTGTTTTTTTCATCGAGTTTTTGTAGGAAACAAAGTTGGGAGGTTCCCCCTTGTACTAGCAGTTCAATAGGGATTGTACCAGGGGGTACTAGAATCCCCATGAAGGACTGGTAGTATAAGGGGAAACATCCCAAGGTCCAAGTAAGTGTTTATTGGGGCTTTGTTAAGGTTCTTTTTGAGTTATATCGGGTTTTGTTGTAGGATTTTTGATTGGGGGGGAGGGGGGTTCGGAGGGCTTAGAGGGACTGTAGAGTTAGGAAGGGAGGTCTCTCCCGGTGAGCTTGCAAGTTGTTGTTGGTAGGGGGCTTTCAATGGGCTTTTTTTGGACTGGAAGACTTATACTGTCGCATGCTTGTTCGCGAGTCTCCAATAATTTCAAGCCTCCCCTTGTTGGGGGCTCATGATGGTGTCCACGGGCACGACCCCCTGCCCTGAATTGGTTTTGTAGGTCCCCTAAACCCTAAACCCTAAACCCTAAACCCTAAACCCTAAACCCTAAACCCTAAACCCCAAACCCCAAACCCCAAACCCCAAACCCTAAACCCCAAACCCCAAACCCTAACCCAGGATACCGAGATGTCGGGCCTCTTGGGCCTGGATGACATGAGGGACCTGCTGCATCAGGCCAACCCGCTCGCTCTTTAGGGTTTGGGCCCTAGGATTTAGGGTTTAGGGCTTAGGGTTTAGGGATGTTTAGGGTTCAGGGTTCAGGTTTAGGGTGAAGTATACGATCTTGGGCTCAGGGGTTGAGGGTTGATGCTTTGGGGTTGAGGAACCCGAAGCCCAAAATCCTCAAGGTCCATGGAATGGGTTGTTGGGACTTGGGAGTTTGAGGTTGCCAAGCTGTCAAGTTCGAGACGCAAGGGTCTTGAGGACCTTAAGGGGCTTTCAGAGTACGTCACCTTCTTGGGCTTACAATGAGGATCTTGTGTGAAGTTTGGCAGCCCTATGCACCCTGCGGTGAAGCCCCCAGGAGTCGACCTTCAAGCGATCAAGGGATTTAAGGCTCACATCTCTAAGGTTGTGCCCCATAGCGTCTCCCTTAATCTACGCCTAACATGGCCGCCTGTTTGTATTTCCCTTAGAGGATCCTTTAAGAAGGGATCCCAAACCCAAGGCCACAACCTTACCAAGGTAGAACCCCATGACGCCAAGCATGGCGCCTTCAGGCGATGCTGGGACTCACGCGTATGCAGATCTACACCGTCCTGAGCGAAGCCGAGGCGCCGGACCGTGTCTGTAGATGTACTCAAGCCCATCCGGTCTTGGGGATTTTGGGGGTTTAGGGTTCTTGGGGTTTAGGGTGCTTGGGGTTTAGGGTTCTTGGGGTTTAGGGTTCTTGGGGTTTAGGGTTCTTGGGGTTAGGGTTCTTGGGGTTTGGGGTTCTTGGGGCTTGGGGTTCTTGGGCTTTGGGGTTCTTGGTGTTTGGGGTTCCTGAATTTAAGTGTTCTTGGGGTTTATAACTTATAGGGTTTGGGGCTAAAGTTTAGGGTTTAGGGTTCTTGGGGTTTGGAAGAAGGGTTATAATTCTTTCATGGCTCACATGGGTTGCGGGTTCTCCGGCGAGGTCAACGCGGACAACCTCATCTCCTACGCCAGCTTCGTCCCTCGCGCAGTGCCCTGGCGAGCTGCGAGGGGTGTTGGTTGTTATTTGGCGTGGTAGACCCTAATCCCGAAAACTTAAACCCTAAACCCTAAACCCCAAACCCTAAACCCCAAGCCTAATCTTAAGCCGACTTCAGCCTTCAGCCAGCCCAATGAGAACCCTAGCCCTTACAAGCCCTCTAAAACCCCATGTGTTGAACGCGAGCCCCAGTTCCGAGAGTTCTTGAGGTTCCTGATCGGAGCCTCTTGAGCTTCAAATAAACCCTAAACCCTAAACCCTAAACCCTAAACCCTAAACCCTAAACCCTAAACCCCCCAAAAAAAGGTGTATAAGGCGCTGAGCGCCCTGTATATTGAGGGTACCCCCTCAAGTGTAATGTGTAGGATTGAGGGTCTTCAGAATGTTAGGGCAGGCACAGCGACATGGATTCCTGCTTCCACGACATGACGCATGAGACTAGACGTGCAGTTTTCCTGAGTTGGGCCTCTTTTTGTTGTGGCTCCTGCGGTAGTAGGAAGCCTTGTGCATGAAAGCCTGCTGCCCGTTCGGTCCTAGTTTTGGGGGGGAGGGGTGGAGACGCGCAACTCCTCGCTTGTTGTTCTTTTTCGCTTGGGGTTTGAGGATTTGAGGCGATCAGGGCTTCGGGTCCTAAACCCTAAGCTAGGCCCCCCGAAACCTTAACCCCTAACACCCAAATTTAGATAGGCTTTCTATGGCTCGCACTTGAAAGGTCGGCCTCATCCGATCCATGCTCTCCTTTGAGACGCTGAGCGGCACCTTTTTGGGTTAGGGCTCAGGGATGTGTAGGGTTTTTCGGTTGGGATGTTCCCCATTGTACTAACAGTCCTGAATAGGGATTTTCATGGGGTACTATAATTTCTATGAAGGACTGTTAGTATAAGGGGGAACCACCCAAGTTTTAGGGTTTAGGGTTTAGGGCCAGAAGATGCCAGAATCCTGAGTCCTGAATCCAAACCGCAAAGCTTGCATGCGCATTCCGTCCGCCGAGGAAGGCCATCGTGAAGAACGATTCAGCCGCACAGGCTTGAATCGGGGAATGAACCCTAAACCCACAACTTCGGATGTTCCCCCTTATACTAGCAGTCCTGAATCGGAATGATCGTACCCCCTATTGTAATCACCATTCAGGACTGTTAGTATACGGGGGAACATCCCAACGTGAAAACCCTGCACCGCTGTGTCCGAAGACTCATGACCATCCAGACAACCGACTGTGCTACTGGAAGCACAGTTGTTCCTGCTTATACGAACTGTCCTCAATAGGGATTATAGTACCCCTTATGATAATCCCGTAAGGACTGGATTTTAAATGGGCTACTGTAATCCCTAAGAAGGACCTGTTCGTATAAGGGGGAACATCCCAAGGCTGGGCCCTGATGTCTTGCCAAGAATCCCGGTCGCAGGACGAGGAGAAATTCTTCTCCACCTTGGACGAGGCATGCATATCTGCCTTCATCCACCTTTGGGGTGATTAAGGGGCTGCTTAGGTATATAGGGACGTATCAGGTCTATGTAGGGGTTATATGTGTACCTTATTGGGGTCCTTATTATAAGGGAATCCTGCTATTTGGTGCTCTATACCCGGCTTCTACACAGCCCAATCTTCTCGCGTAAGCAAGTTTGAGCCGTCCGCTTTGCGCCCTAGGGCACTCTCTGTAGAGTCGTTTTTGAAGCTGCCAACAATCAGTCTTGCCTCACAGGTTCAACGAGTCTAGGTTTTGGGGTTTAGGGTTTAGGGTGTAGGGTTTAGGGCAATAGGATGTCTGTGGTTGTGCACAGCCGACAGCCTCGTAGTTCGCAGTCGCAACTCGAAGCCCTTCCTTCCCAGGCCTTCGCTGGCAGCGAGCCCGTCCTGCCCCTGGCAGATGTCATGGCTCGCCTGTCCAGGCCGGGGCCCCCTGAGTGATGCCGAAGTTCTTGGCACCTAAAGGGGAGCCCGCCTCGAAGTTGATACGCCAAGCCCTTATAGCATCCCTTCGAGGCCCTTAAACATCCTGAACCCGAAAACCCCTAAACCCTGAGAAGTTCACTGAGAAGTTGAGACTCAATAGCACGGTGAGCCGCGTCGAAGGGAGAAGATGCCGATTCTATCCCAGGTGCCTGGCCTTGTGAGAAGCCAACCCAGATGGTTGTGGTTGAGGGCTTAGGGTTTAGTCGGTTCAGGGGAATGCTAGAAACCCGCAAAGCCGAAGATTCTGAACAGACAAAACCTTCCAAACATCTCACGACTTCTCTGCGCCCAGTGCCGCGCTGCTGGACGGCAAGGACGTAGAAGCGTGCAGCCGGATGCTGGGCGCGGCACCCCAGAGTTTCGTGCTTATGGGCTCGGCATTTCACTTGCGGGTTCGGCGGATCAGGCGAAGTCAAGGAACTGAAGAATGTCATGCAGTGTCGCCCATACAGTGGCAATCGCCAATATTCAGCCTGCGTTTTAAGACACGTGGGGCGGTGGGGGGGGGGGGTGCGTCCACTCCAACTGCCCTCCAGAGGATTCATAAGGCTTGTACCCGACTTAGTGCGTGCGGTTTGAGCTCTTGACTATTTGGGTTACTTGGTGACCCCGACTCCCAAATGTCGACGTGACTGCTCCGTGGTCCGTATTTTTTGTGTCACCCAAGCACATCATCTTGTACTATCATCTTGAGACGGCAAGACGAGATGGAAAGAAAAACTGCGGATCGGATAAGACAGGTAAGACAGGGGATCAGAAGGAGCGGCAGGTTAGACCGGCCTGTTGCTGCACTGCGCAGGCACTACCTACCCTGTGGACGAAATCCCTGTGGAGGAGGCAAGAGCATATCCTTAGCCCACCTTCCGTCGCGTACACGTCCTGCTGACTTCCCAAGTTGGATGACTAGCTACTGAGCCCCCAATCCCCTTCCGCAATGCCAAACCTCCTCAAGACCTAACAGAAGCATCCCATCCCAACCGATGGCCGAGAGTTTTGTAACAATTAATGGGCTCAACAGGGCCACTGTTGCCCTGATTTAGGGCCTTTTGGGGTTCTTGGGTTTTTTCCATTCTTTCGTTTGGGGATCAGGGTTAGCCAGCGGCCGACATGGGTTCTGAGCAGGCGAAGTCGCAGATTTGGGCTCTGGTGAAGAGTCTGCGCCGTGCCAAGTCAGGCGCGCTGTTAAGGAGTTATCAAGGGCTGTACAAAAGCCCTAAGTCTGGATCCTAAACCCTCAACCCAGAGTTCAAGCAAGCTTTGTGGCTCTGGGTGTTGGGGGCAACTGCAGGTGCAGGCGTTTGCTTTTGGGATGTTTTTTTTTCTCGGAATCTTAGCCGTAGCTCGACATGTTCATCAAGACTGTTCGAGCCGCGGCGAAGGCTGATGGGCGGAGAGGTTGCGCTGACACGAATCCGAGTCGGCGAGTTGTGGGCAGGCACGTGCCCAATAGGGCAGGACCTGCGAAGGCGTCGAATTGACTGCTTCACAACGTGTCACCACTTGCACGCGCCACAGCTTTATTCGGTTGCGTGTTCCTCGGGTGCCATCATGTTCGCTCGAGCTAGCTCGCAGGGTAGGACCGTGTTTGTGAGGTGCTTGGTTGAAACTACCTTCGAGCTGCAATTCATTATCCAGTTTCACCGAATGAGCAAGAAGCTGCTGCGCGTCTGCACTCATGGAAAATCTGCCAAAGAGGATACCCACCACCTGACAATGGCATGGTTTCCCCTCCTGCCTTGGCGCAGTTGTGTTGTCATACCAGGAGACAGGCTTGTTTTGATGTCGAAGCTGTCGTTCGGACTGCTAGCAGCCAGCCGTTTCCAATAGCTTCGACGAAGAGACCTGCAACCCCGCACTTCCTTCCCAGCCCTGCACAACATCACCCTTTGCAGCAACTTGGGTTGGGGGTTCATTTAGAAGCCCTAAAATGCCCTAAGCCCTACAAACATTGCAAACCCTACAACCCAGCAAGCCGTGCCTAAACCGCAAGGAATTTACCTTCACCCTGAACCCCTAGGCCTTAAACGAAACCCACACCCTAAACCCTAAACCTAAACCTAAACCTAAACCTAAACCGCAAAAAACACCCTTTGTAGGGTTCGCAGGGCTGCACGCCGCCATGGCCGCGGAGGAGGGACCAGGAACCGCGAGCCAACCCTCAAGAGGCCACCCTTCTTGGGTTTAGGGTTGGGGTTTAGGGTTTATAGGGTTAGGGTTTAGGGTTTAGGGTATAGGGTATAGGGCTCGCCTCATGGGGTTTGCAGGCCCCCCAAAAAGGAGCCCGGTCTGCCCTTAGATGCGCTCCGTCTGTTCCTTTGCAGGGAGGCAGGGCGCACGTTCATGCTGGGGGTTAGTACCCCACATGTCAATGTGGTCCCTTGTTGGGTACCCCCCAGGCCCTGACACCAAAAATCATTAAATGCCGAAACCCGCAAGGTTGAGCTGCCTTAATGCAGTTCAACTCGGGCTGTCCCAGCAGCTCGTTGCTTGAAGGCTCATGGGTAGTTGTAAGTGTTCTTTTCGTTGCGGAGTATAAAGTACCACAGACGAGGCTGCAACCAGTTCTCACTAGAGGTATAGCTACCCAAGCACATCCGAGCATAATTTCTCCTCAGCCCCAGAAGACACCAGACTTGTAAACCCTAAAGCCCTAACCCGCTCTATAATGCCAGGTAAATCCAACTCCCTACACCCTCAACCTAAACCCTACACCCCAAACCCTAAACCCCACACCCATCCCGAACCTCCAAGCTTGCAGGGCCTCGACGCGCCACGGCGCGGTCGTGTGGGAGGCCCCACTTTCGAGTTCCGAGACCGCCCTCTACAGGTTTGTTACGGTTTATCCGACATTCTCTGACCAGGCCCTGCCCCCCCAAACCTGAATCGTCATGTCCCAAGACCCAAACCCTCAACCCTCGCCCTCCATTCCAGCAGGCTCTGGCCGCGCTGCGGGGCTTCCCTTGTCTCCGTGGCAGCGTGCGAGCCCGAGCTTGTGCGCGGGTTAGGGCCGCAAGGCCGTCTGGGGTTTTAGGGGTTTAGGGGTTTAGGGGGGTTTAGGGTTTAGGGGTTTAGGGGTGTAGGGGTTTAGCGTTTAGGGATTGGACTCAAGCTCCACACAGGCTCTGATGTGGGAGGTTGTGGGAGTATCCGGAAATCGGGTTGCTTTGTTTTGGGGCTTCCTAGAATCAGGATTGGCATATTTCGGGGGGTGTATGTTGGCACACCTGAGCGGCGTTTTTTTCTTTTCTTGAGAGAATGCTTACGTAAATGCGGAAATTACTCTTGGAACCGGGGCGCGAAAGTGCACGGGATGGTGGCTGCGGGAGCACGCGGAAGGGTGGCGGAAGCACGTCTCTGCGGAAGCTGGGGCGGAAGCGACGACACAAATCCGCGAAGTTTGACGCAAACTCCACGGAAGCTCCGCGGAAGCTCCGCGGAAGCCTGCGTGCCGATCTCAAGGTCCAGACCCACCCCATTGAGTCCAGGCTCTGGCAAAGTCTCCGCAACACTACTGCCTTCCACCGCACACAACACCACGCCCGCCCTTCCCTACATCATTGCGTGCGCGTTCCAAGCAGCAAAACCCCCGCCAGGTTCAGCAGTATTTCGTCGAGCTCGCTCTGGGCCCGAGGCGTGTTCGAGTTTATATCTTACAGACCTACTCGCGGAGGCAAGTTTTTCAAAACAGCGCTCAATCAGCTCGCGGAAGCGTCCGCGGAATCAAACGCAGCGGACGAATAGAAACAGTACTCGCGGAAGGACCGCGGAAGGGTTCCGCGGAAGGAATCGTTATTTCATAGAAAAACACAGCTGGGCAGCTACCAATGTTTCGAGACTCATGGGGGCGCGTGATGACAAGTTGAGCCCCTGGCTTCTCGAAGCCGTCAAAGCACAGCACACCTTATTCAGTTTAGGGTCTAGGGCTTAGGGTTTAGGGTTGAGGAGGCCATTGTGAAAATTAGCAGGCCGTGTGCATGAGCTGCCGGCGTGTCGTGAAAGCCAGCTCTCTACCAGCTTGCGTTCGCCTTTCTGGTCGCTGGTCGGGGAACGCTTAATGTGAAGCAAGTGAGGGTCTTGAGCCTCAATCGTCCAAAGTTGGGGTTTGAATTCGGGTTTAGGGGTCTAGGGTTTAGGCCGCCAAACTTTCTAAGCCAACCGCCTCTCCACCTCCAGGCCATTGCAGCTCCAACTCCTGGAATCCTAAACCCGAAGCCTAAACTCCTACCCCTAATCAACCCAAAGCCCTAAACTCTAAACTCTACACCCCGGAAGTGCATGCAGAACCCTAGGCTCTACTCTCTCGGCGACTGCTTGGGATTCATCCCGGGAACCGCGAGCGGCCCAGTTTCCCAGGTCTTTCTTGGGGGGTTCCGTTCAGTCCTGTGGCCTGGGGCTTTTTTGAGTGCCTTTGGTCCCTAGACCCGAATCTCGAAACCCTAAACCCTAAACCCTAAACCCTAAACACCCGAATCTCGAAACCCTAAACTGCCTAAGCCTAAGCCCTAAACCGGGAAAGGGCTCTCGTTATCTTGTCAAGCGCAAGGCCTAAGAAGTCCCAGACCACAAGTCTCTTCTCCGGGGTTTAGGGTTTAGGGTTCCTAACCCTAAACCGCAAGCCCTAACTTAGGGTGACCCCTCAACTCTAAACCCTAAACCCTAAACCCTAAACCTTAAACCCTAAACCCTAAACCCTAAGCCCTAAACCCCTCAACTCTGAGATTCTTCTGACTCTCACCCCCAAGACCCATCAAAACCCCCCCCTTTTCAACCCCTGGACACCCACGAAGTGCTTGAGAAACGGCGAACAGCGGCCGATGTGGGTCCAGGGAGTCTATCTTGGAACCTACGGGTGGTGCCCTTGGGTTTGGGGACCCTGTGTTTAAGATCCCTATGGAGGTAGAATAGGGACCAGATTAGGAGTATATTTAGGGGAACCTTTAGGGGTACAATGATAG